TCAGGGTCATTAGTTGATTTACTAGTAGTTTCATTATAATCAAATAAACAAGAAGATTTCCTGGTAGTTTCATTATATTCAAATATACCAGAAGATTTCCTGGTAGTTTCATTATTGTCAAATATGCCAGAAGATTTCCTGGTAGTTCCATCATAGTCAAATATACCAGGAGATTTCCTTGTAGTTTCATTATTGTCAAATATACCAGAAGATTTCCTTGTAGTTTCATTATAATTAAATATACCAGAAGATTTCCTATTAGTTTCATTAAAGTCAAATATACTAGGAGATTTCCTATTAGTTTCATTATAGTCAAATATGTTAGAAAAATTCCTTGTAGTTTCTTTATAGTCAAATATACCAGGAGATTTCCTTGTAAACTAGAATATTTTCTTGGTTATAGCATAAGAAAATAGTTAATTTCTTTATGGTCCTCAGAGATTTCCTTGTAGTTTCATTATAATTAAATATACCAGAAGATTTCCTATTATCATTATAATTAAATATACCAGAAGATTTCCTATTAGTTTCATTAACGTCAAATATACTAGGAGATTTCCTATTAGTTTCATTATAGTCAAATATACCAGGAGATTTCCTTGTAAACTAGAATATTTTCTTGGTTATAGCATAAGAAAATAGTTAATTTCTTTATGGTCCTCAGAGATTTTTCAGCAATTTCATTTAAGGAAAATAATTTCTTTTCTATTTTTTATTAAATATCCTAGATTTATGGACCTAATCGACGGAATTCTTAATCATTTATTCCCAAGTTTAATGGAAAGGAATTTTGTTTTTGACACAAACTCGGATTTTAAATACCGATATATTTGCAACCAGATGTAGTAGACCTTTGATATTTCAAACTATGAATTCTGTTTTATAAAATTGTCAATATCTAGAATATCGAAGGTTTATACCATCAGACTGCAAAGATATAAGGAATTACTAATTTTAGATAGAGGCCAAAACTCTGTTCCTTTAAGTTGAATGATTTCTTAGTTTGTTGGCGATGATTTCCAACCTGATTGGTGATAACATTGAAATGACTGATTTCCTAATTTTATGTTTATTCAAATACAAATTACTGAATTCTTAATTTTTGGAAATCTACATCAATGATATTCTTTTTGTTGCATAAAATTTAACCCTTTTTCCCATATATTTGTATGAAACTAAAATTATCCATTACAGATAGAATAGAAGGTCTTCAAAGGAGTAAAATTCTTCTCCTTGGCCTAGGTTGAGAAGGTTGCGAAGGTGTCTGACTAGAGAATATATTTGGCGTCTATTTCATATTGAAATGAGTTGTATTATTCAAGGATCGTTATTAGTTACATTGATACATTATTAGATACGGTGGTTCAGTGTTTATTACATGGTGTTAAGATTAAACTGAGTTGATTTTCTATCAACACTGATTAACTTCTGGGCGTTATAGGTGTTGCCACAAGTATTCCAAAGAGAAGCTTTTAGCGTCCCAAGTTTTTCTGAAGCACCCGTTTAATACTTTATTGTGCATATTTAAGTAATAGTTTGCATTTAAACTGTCTGTATAAGGTTTCATACTGTTTTTATTGGGTTTAGCAGGAAAATGTTGGCCCTTATTGTTCATAGACGTACTTTCCTCTCCTGAGATGTAAGTAAAAAATGTCAAAAATATTTTTTTTACAGTTCTTAAAAACATATTATTTTGTTTTGTATGGGATAGAGATAAGAACTGCACATTTCGATAGTTCTAGATGATTCAGAGTTAGACTAGAACTTTTGGTGACAGATGTACCAGAAACCATTCTACTCAGGGTACTCTTAATTCTTGGTGGAGGGGGGGGGGTATACCATATCATCATCATATCAACTTCATAACCTCAAGCTTCCTTAATCACTTTATCACTTTCATTCTAGAGGTTCATCGAGGTTTTCATGCATAGTTTCTGTTGTAGATTTATATCCCTTATTTCTTGATTTAAATCATTGTTTTGTTTGTTTTGGTATTAGGATTTAGTCTTAAATACATGTCCTGGGTTTGCTGGTTCTGCTCTCAGCTTTAGCATCCTGGCTTAGTTACAAGCTCATGATTTGTGGTTAAACTATCATTATTTAGTTCAGATTCAGCTCTTGTTAGTTCAGGGATCCTGATTAAGAGCATCTAGTTCAGATTCAGCTCTTTTTAGTTCAGGGATCCTGATTAAGATCTCAGTTCAGGCATAATGGTTCAGCTCTTTGCTCTGGGTCCCTGGTTCAGCTGTTAATTATCAATGGATCCGGTCCTCCCACCTTAGATACACAGATTGAAACCCTCCACGTCTTTTATCCACCCTAAACCCACCAATAAATACATTCAGTTTATATTTTGTTTAATCTTTCATTTTACATCTATGCATTGTGCGAATACACCAACAATTGAATATAAATCTATTCATCGATATAGAGTTTGTCACTTTTAAATGTCCGTAAGAGTTAAGCCCGTAAGGAGATAAGTCGATTTAGAGCATTTAATTACTTTTTTTTTGAAAAGAAAATCAGTTTTGTTCCATTTCCATGTATTTTCTTGCTTTTGTTTTAATTTGATTAATTCTTGATTATTGAGTTGCGAACTAGTGAATTCTCCTTGTATTTTAGAAATAATTTGATATTTACCTCGACCAAATATTTTACAATGCTAGCGAATACAATTATGGTAGACATGTTTTAATAGTCAAGNACTATTCTGTATTATTTATCTTAATTTTGATCATATTATGTTAAGTATTTTTATACTCTTAACTATGAATTCTCTCCGGGGGTGTTTAAACACTGCAGTATCCAGAGCCATCTATGATTACATTTCTCCATAAATGGGATTATTTTTATTATTGTAAGATATCTAAACTGGACTATATTTTACGTAACTTTTATAATATTTCTTTTTCAAGTTTTCCATGTTATTATTTTCAATTAAATCCTCCCAAACTCTTAATTAAGAAGATAATTAATTTTCTAAATTAATTTAATTTCGGACCGAAGGCCAGGATAGATAGTATCTGCAGGGTAGATGAATACAGGATAGATTTCATCCATAAATATATCCTTGTCTTAGTTTGGAATTAAATCATTCCTTGACAGGGATTTGGGAATCCATTTAAACCTTGTAGAAAACTGTTTTGATGGGGGTTCTTAATTTAACAGAGCCATGTTTTCTCATTATGAACTCAACTGGTTAGTAATACTTTTTTTCTTGTTGGTTTTTGTTAATTGATTTAAGTTTAATCAATTTTACTGAAGGAGGAGCTGAACTAAATACTTATCTTTCTATCTTATAATTAATTCAAAACTTTTCTCTTATCATTGCTGGCTGTCTAAAATAGATTATTAATTTGAACATATTTTTTATGCCTTACAGTTTCTACAGTTTCAATTGTGTAGTTTGTTAAGGAATATTATAGTTTTAAAACACTAGTAACATATGTTTCCAAATATTTATAGATCTAGATATATATATATAATTATAAGGATAGATAGATAGATAAATAGATAGATAGATAAATAGATAGATAGATAGATAGATAGATAGATAGATAGATAGATAGATAGATAGATAGATAGGCATACAAACAGACCATTAAATTTCTGTAAAAAGATAGAGTGTTAGTTATTTAGGTGCTGATGAGGGAAGAAGGGGAGCTGATGAGGGAGGTAGGGGAGCTAATGAGGGAGGAAGTGGGGCTGATGAGGAATGGGCATGGGATAATGAGAAAGGTAGAGGGACAGATAAGGTATGTGGAGCATGTAATGAGCAATAGAGGACTAATAAGGGATGGAAAAATACTTATGAGGGAGGGAATGGTGCTCTCTGTAGATAAAAAGAAGGGACTGATAAGGATGAGGAATGAGGAGGGCTAATTAGTGCTCTTCAAATAAACTTCTAAAACAAATAAAAAGGTTTAAATATTAAAATTTAAATATTCTATTCCCATAGAAACTGATAAAATTCTAATTTTCCAAATCCTATATCTTTGTGGCCTGATTTACTTTTTAACTCCCCCCCCCCCTAAATTCCTCGCCCCCTTCCTTTTCCATCTCCTTAATCCAATGACAAAAACATCTAATTGACACTCAGTCCATTCCTTGGTACCTAGTATAACAAGTAGCTTTCAAGCTTGATTTGGGGTCTCCGTTCCTAGTCATACCTAGACCAGTGTTTAATTCTCTCAAGGTTGGAAAACAACACTGTATGGTTTATATTTCTCATGGATAGGTTGTATTAGATGAAAATTGAATATGATACTGAATATAATGAAGGTTGGAAAACAACACTGTATGGTTGAAATTTCTCCTGGATTGGTTGTATTAGATGAATATTGAATATGATACTGAATATAATGAAGGTTGGAAAACAACACTGTATGGTTAAAATTTCTCCTGGATTGGTTGTATTAGATGAATATTGAATATGATACTGAATATAATCAAGGTTGGAAAGGTTGTATTCTAGAAGATAAAAGACAATGTAAAGTTTAAACAATGGGGTTCAATGTAATGGATCTTCTCACTTGGTAATATCCAACATTCATTCTCTAGATTATCAGCACATACTAGCGTACATTTAAATACGCATAGCCCGCTACTACGCATATATTATCCTCCTAATTTATCTTCCAAGTTAACATAATTCTCATTCACTATGAACACTCTGGGTCTACAAGGATGTTATTTTAATTCCAATAATATTATTTTTATGATTTTTAGAAAAAATGGTTCTACAAAGCTCCTCACAATGGTTTATCCAGTGGGATATAGTTATAAAATAATCTTGGTTTGAAACCTATGATATAAAATGTTTATCACCTATGACCGGGGAATACCCGCTAAAATAGGACTTACAAAAATAAGCCGAAGAACCAAAATTTTAGTCTATGGTAAGTTTTGCGGCTTGTCTGTGAAGTGGTTTTATAATTAATGAAAATATTGCAAGTTTAAGATTTGATGTTTAGATGCATAATTAATTGATTTTTATCCAGGATTTGTTCCACGTCCCACCCGACTTGATTTCGACCAGGGGAATGATGTACAGAGCAGCGGAGTTGAAGATAACCTTTCTCAGCAGACACAGTCATCCTATTCATCCCAACAGTCCCATCCGTCCTACTCAACCCAGCAGAGTAACTCCTCCTACTCCTCGACTCCGACCTATCACGTCCCGGAGAAACGACAAGCCCCGCCTCCTCCAGTTAAACCCCAGCAGGACTTCAATACAATCAATAAAAATAAGGTTCAGGTGAGACAAATAGTTTTTTTAGGGGACTGTTTACAAAAGTGGATGTCGATTATCGATCTGCGACAGATAAACGGTCTAAGTTTTTACGGTGTGAATCGCGTATGACACTCAAGGATCACTTCAAATCCCTTTAAGAAAATTTTAATGGAGTTGCGAAGAATAATTTGTTTTTAGACTCAGCTGAATTCAAGTGGAGGGGATCAAGTTGAGAGGGGGGCGGGGTTTAATCTAAAGTTCTGAGGCCTGCACTGTCAACCTTTCTGTTTTAAAACTTGAACAATTTAAAATTTTCTGCATGAATGGATCGATCAACATAAGCAACAGCTGCAAAAATTATTGAATGTGACGTTCTTGCTATTTGCATAGATTTCCATTTGTTAGCAGTTAGTTAACCATTCACAGAATTCAAATTTACAATTCGCACTAATATTATTCTGTCTGCGGCAGTTTTTGCTGAATTTTCAAAATAAACGAATGCTCAGAATAANTGGGCAAGAAATATGTTTTATAAGAATTTGCCATTTTGGATTTTGCTATGTTGTTTTCTTGTTTGTTTAAGTCTCCAAGATAGATTCAAAATATTACTATTTGCTTCGCAAACTATTCGATCCTTGTGCTAGTTCACAATTTTTTTCTCTTTTGTACTTTTTTGTCGGCGGATGCGATTAAAATGAAAAAGACCAAGACGCTGTAAGTTTAACGAATTATTACACAAAACGCAATTGATGAAACCGAACGCATCGTGTCCGAGGGTTAGGGTGTTCAATATTTTTTCATTATTTTCGTTTTAAACGAACATTTAAACTTAAAGAACTATTCTGAAAGATTTGTACAATTCAAAATCAGAAAATTCACAATTGAAACAAGTTATATTTTTGTTTCCCTAAAACTCCTACCTTGAATTTAAATTATTTGCATTTCATTGTTTTCCATGTTTATTTTGTATTCTGCAAACAAACCTTGAGACAAACCTAGAATAATCTTCACTTTTTAAACAGAATCTATTTATGCGTTTAAAGTAGTATAATTCTGTTCGCTTTAAGATTTAGACGTGTTAAAACTATTTTTCAATGAAGAAAAAAGCTAGAGCTATTACTGAATCAGTATTGATGCATGCCAGTGAAACTGGAATTGGAAAAAATCTCTGTTTTAGGCATTACGTTGAAATTTAGCGCCCACACACAAACTCAAGTGGTCAGAAAGGACCGCGCAGTTGTTAAAGCCGCCATTGAAACAACTAAAACTAATTTATAAATTCACAATACTCACGTGGAACAAATATAATTTGATCGGGAAGTTGTTCTTTGACTCATTCTTCTTCCAGATGGGATTGATTTAGGATTTATTTAAGATTAATTGATATGTCCCTGGACCCTAATCCCTGACCAGGGTTTTACATTTCTCTGTAGATATTTCTGATTTTCATCATTCTAATCCGAGTTCCTCTTTCTCATTTTGATAAACGTGTATTACTGGGCAGAATTGATAATTCTCCTCCATCCTTGTTAGAATTTAAAATATGGACTAATTACATCGGTTTATTATTATCGATCCTATTAATTACTGATAAAGATTTAAATCCTTAATTTCTAGTTTACAATCCTATCTTCCTTTCGATTCTTTCTTTTAAGGGTCTACAGAGTTCAGAGGCCGAATTTGATGAATTTGAGCCGCGGCTTAAATCCGCCAAAAAACCGGTTTTAATTTAGCGCCGGCTTAAATCTTGCAACATTTAATACGATTTTAAGTGGAATCAAATTCAACCATATTTAAGCCGCGTCTTAAATTAAGCCGCAGCTCAAATTCTTTAAATTCGGCCTCAGATTCTTTTCATATATTTATTTCTGGCCAAATTCATAATTTTCCCCTCAAAATACTGTTAGTGACAGAAATTAAACTCTTATTATGTTGCGAACCTTTGATATTTTTATCATAAAACTTCTTATTCAAGTCAAAAGTTGCGCCCTGGAACAAATGGTAAAAATATATCTGTTTATCTTGTTATTTAAGTAAATCCAATTATCCCGGAGAGAGTTTCTTTATCAAAATATTTCCTTATAAGGAAAATATTTCTACAGTAGAGAGTGCAGGTGTTCAGGGATCAATCTGTCTTTAAACACGTTTCAATCCTTACTCTCCAACCTTGACAGGCGATGATTGTCTTAATCCGCTGGTGTTGAACTAAGTAGTGTCCAAAAATACGACGAATTTCGATTTAAAATCATTATAAGGGTTAAATTTAATCGAATTACTAAGCGATCCAAGGTTAGAAATAACTGAAATTCTTCTCAACTCTAGTTGTTTGGTCAATTATGACTATGTTTTGGATGATATGAAAATAATTTGTTGACACTCTTCACTACCTAAGATTATCTCCATTATACCATGGACGAATTAGTTGATTATAGTTCGGTTCCGCCAATTCATGAAGATACATTTAGATAATCTTCATGATTATCTCTTTTTATTTAGATTATCACAGGTTTAACAAATATTTTATTTTTCCAGGAGTTTGAGTCCTGGAACCTGGGCCAGGAGCCAAGTCGTCATGAACCTGCCCGTCAGGGATCAGGGAATAGAAACCAAAAACCTGAGACAAATCGTCCTGTTGTCCTACCTCAACCTGACACCTTCCAGATGGACGAACCTTTCATCGACACGTCTCACTACAAGACCTCGAGGGTAGTGATCACCCCCGGGACCCCCACCGAGCCCACCTACGAGCTGGAAAAGAAGGGTCACACCTCCGTGATCCGTGTTTCCTATCCTGGACCTGAATCCGTCCAGCCGCCTACTCCTGAACCTGCTCAGAGCTTCCATAGACAGAGAGACTCTCCTAGTGCGCAGCATCGTCCGAGTCTGCCTCTCCGTCAAGATTCAGCTATGGGATTGGAGAGTTTTCATTTCGTCGCAGTTCTTGGTCGTGGACATTTTGGAAAGGTAAGTCAGACCGCTTTTAAGTGTGTGTAACCATAGAGTTCGACTCGACTAATCCATTAAATATAATGATATTAAAATCATGTTCCACATTCAAATATCTGATCAATGTTAAATTGACTTGAAAAAATGGTTATCTTAAAGCAATAAGTTACCACCTTACTCTCCAATACGGGATTTATATCTTTGATAGGATAAATGCCTTTGTCCTCGATATCTTTTAGTTCCACAGAACACGATTTTTTGATGGACTAAATACTCTTCACCAGAAACTTATCCGATTTAGTTCTATTTAACCACTGTTAAACTTATTTTATTTTCAAAATAGAAATTGATTGTCACGCTTGATGCCCTTGATATAGATTGGGTCCTGCATCTGGTGTTAATATCATTTCTCGCTATAAATAACTGAGAGTTAGACCCAGGGTTTAGGATGTGAGAGTTTTATCCTCCACTCTGCGCTGGAAAGAGTAAATTGGGGACGTAGAAACCCCGCAATTATCTCTCATCTGTTGCTAAAACTGATAAATATCTCGTCTGACGTAAAAGACGGATTGGAGTCGGATAGATGAAAGTTTACTTAATTTAATAGGTTCCGTCCAGTTTACTTAATTTAATAGGTTCCGTCCAGTTTACTTAATTTAATAGGTTCCGTCCAGTTTACTTAATTTAATAGGTTCCGTCCAGTTTACTTAATTTAATAGGTTCCGTCCAGTTTACTTAATTTAATAGGTTCCGTCCAGTTTACTTAATTTTATAGGTTCCGCCCTATTTTGATGCTGATCAGGATTTGGATCAATGATGTAAAAAAAAAATCCGGACCCAGCTCATGAATATTTTTTCTTTTTTTAGAAGGGAAAGCCCTACTTTTACCATTTAGAGGTCAGAAGATATCATAAATTGGCACTTTAAGATGTGTGTGTTGAGAGTGAATAGTTTTTGTATGTTACTTGGACCCGCATATTGATGCGGATCCTCCGGATCCGGATCACTAGTTAAAACCATATCTAGAGAAAATTGTTTGAGAACGAATTAATCTCCTAGAAGAATCTCTAGGAAAGAAACCTGGTCTCGGAACAGTAAGGTTCAGAGAAGAATGCAGATCTGAGAGAATTCCGAGCCCTGGATGTAAAGATAGTTTACTAAGAATACATTACGGATAGAATTCATAGGTCTCATCTCAATCCAATTAAGTTCAAAAGGCTCCTAGGCAACAAAGGGGGAGGATGGGAATACAATTGGTCACAACTCACAAGTATCATTTAGTTTAAAAGATGGAACAATCATAAGTTCAAAGTTATAGACACTGAAAACGAGTTAATAAATGCATTATGCAAAAATCAGTTGAGGATCTATTTCATTGGAACACGGTACAAAATCGCATAGAATTGAACATGAGTTAGAAAATTAAAATAATGATTAAATGTCTTAATTACATAGAATCAATGAAAGAGAAAAAATGATGATCAAAAGGTGGTAAAAATAGAAAGAACAAATGTCAATGATGTAAGAGTCAAAACAAGAGAAATCAACGGGATCAGAATGTTAAATTTTTAAAGAACATGCGGCTTTAACATTTATGATTGGTGTCCTAATGAATCAGTGGAGGGGTGGGACGACATAACCCGACAATAATTCTTGAACAGAACGAGAAAGTTAAATGAATAATGGTCTAGAACCCACACAATATAATTCATCAGGAAATGCATTTATCAAACGCCGCAATTTTTAATACTGTACACAAGCTGATAGAAAAGGTGTAGATAATATCTTGGAAATCTACGAAAACAAGTTATAGTCTAGTATTAACTGTTAATAAACTGATATTTTCACGAATTCAAAGCGAGGAACTTATGAATGAGAAGAATTTAAACCACATAACCTTGACTATAACTTTTGAATCCCATGAGTTAACTTTAATAGACATGTAAAGATTGATACTGAACTCTTGTCGATTAAACTTTAAATAATGGTGACCTCGAGAGACTGGTAGTTAAATGAATGAATTATAATTTTCAATCACAAGCTTAACACATTCTACCTTTCAAAAGTTTCCGAATCCGACTGGTTTAAATTTTTAAACCAATGAGATTAAAAATACTTATTCTGTAAACAACATTTCAACTAAACTGCAAATTACCATGAAACTTATAAGGAATCGGATTACAGAAAAGATTTGGACGTCAGATTTTTTGTTAAAGATTTGAATATATCCAGAGTAGAAACTTTTTATTTGAGGATTTTGTCTGTCAGACCACACAAGACACGGATTAGTTCTTTCTAGAGATTATCAATTCAAAAGTTGATGCCTGATCAACTGTATCTTAATCATCTATGTTTCTAGGTTATACTGGCGCGGTACAGAAACACAGGCGAATACTTTGCGATCAAAGCACTGAAGAAAGGAGATATTATCGCCAGGGACGAGGTTGAATCATTGCTAGCGGAGAAAAGAATTTTCGAGGTCGCTAACTCAATGCGGCATCCGTTCCTTGTCAACCTTTTCTCATGCTTCCAAACAAAGGTTTGTCATATTTTTAACATTTTGTTTCTTATTTTTATACTTTTTTAAAAGAAATTTTATAAAAATGTTTTCTTAAGATATGAACATTAATTGTGGTGTTAAAATTTTTCATACACAGGAAATATTTTTTTAAGCACTACACTATTTTTCACACTTAGTTCTCAGTGACGCAAAGGTTGGGGGGATCTGAGGTATGCATTCCCTGTAAAATCGTAACTAATGAGACAATATTGTAGAGCCATGTTTGCTTCGTAATGGAGTACGCTGCTGGTGGAGATCTAATGATGCACATTCACGCAGACGTGTTCACAGAACCTAGAACTGTATTCTACACTGCTTGTGTGGTTCTAGGTCTCCAGTATCTTCATGAAAACAAAATTATTTACAGGTATTAACACTGTTTTTTGTTTGAAATTCTCTCGCACAATATTTCCTAGTTTGTTTTTATATCATTTATGCAGAATATTTTTTTGTGTTTGGCCCCTTTTCGTAAAACTTTGATATTAATTAATCTGCTGATGATATCATGAAACTAGAAGATTAAAGATATCTGTTTAATCTCTGCACTAAGATTGATTTGTGCTGCTCTGAGACATCTTGGTTCTTGATCTCTGTCCCTATTAATCAAAGTCCTGCTTTGTAAAGTCAAACGTGTTTTAAAATGATATTTGCATTCTATGTCAAACAAAACATTCTTTTGATAAAACATTTCTTTTAGGGATTTAAAACTTGACAACCTGCTCCTTGATACAGAGGGATACGTAAAAATTGCGGATTTTGGTCTGTGTAAGGAGGGAATGGGATACGGAGACAGGACGGGAACTTTCTGCGGAACTCCGGAGTTTCTGGCTCCTGAGGTTCTCACCGAGACATCGTACACCAGAGCCGTGGACTGGTGGGGACTAGGGGTTCTTATATTCGAGATGTTGGTTGGGGAGTCACCGTTCCCCGGAGACGATGAAGAGGAGGTGTTTGATTCTATTGTAAACGATGAGGTTCGATATCCTAGATTCCTCTCCCTCGAAGCTATTGCCATCATGAGAAGGGTAAGAATATTGTAACAGACATTTTTAAATAACATCTTTAGTTTTTCCGAGATTTTTATTTTAAAATCCTAAAATATGTTTTATCAATTATGTTATAATCAATTTTGAATTGAATTAATGTTTTATTAAATTTGAAGATGCTAAAATATGACTCAATTTAAGATTCTTAAATTATGATTCATAAAATTTTAAGATTCTATGAAATAAGATTTATTTAATTGTAAGACCATAAAATATGAATTTTAAAAATTCTTAAGAACGGGCCTGAAACATGATTTTTTCAATTTGATGATCCAAATTTATTTATTTTTTAGTCAACTTTAAGGTTCTGAAAATCCTAAAATATTATTTATTCAACCATGAGATCTTAGATTAGATTTGTAAGGACGAATGTTGTGTTTAGTTGCTCCGGAAGAGTCCTGACCGAAGGTTGGGAGCTACGGAGCGGGATGCTGAGGATGTGAAGAAACAAGCCTTCTTCAGAAACGTCAACTGGGAGGATCTCTTGAAAAGAAAAATTCCGCCGCCATTTGTCCCAACTATTGTAAGTACAATTATCTCTCTCACTCACAGTGCTTAGGATCCATTTCAGTTTGATGCGGATCCGGATCCTAGATCCGTCCAGTAACAAATCGAGAAAAAATTGTTTTTCCAAATTTATGTATCATTCAATGACAAAGGTTTAGAAAGTTTAAACTTATATTTGTTGGGGGGGGGGGGGGGGAGGAGGGAATTCGTTGTTTTGGTTGAATCCGGATCAAGGTAGCTAACAGTTCCGATCTGGATCATTAGCACTGCTTAGTGCTCATCTAAAAAATTATATTTCCAATGGGGTCAATTTTCAATCATTTTCTGTAAAGCATATTAAATATTTAAATCCTAACGATTAATAATCTCCATCTGTTCCCACTTGGTTTATAACTAAGCATATGTTCTAGGGCGGGCTGGAGGATGTTTCTAATTTTGATGAAGAGTTTACGTCTGAGAAACCAAAGCTTACTCCGCCCAAGGAGGCGAGAGAACTAACCAGTGATGAACAACTTCTCTTTCAAGATTTTACCTATCTAGCAGACTGGTGTTAATATCATCCACCTGGCTTAACTCAGCTATGATGGTTGATCTTTATGTTAGATTTACAGCTTCATTACTCAACATCAGTGCTAGATGCATGATTGCTTGTATTGGTTATTCACCTACATAGTTGCCGGTATTGGTTATCCATCAACATGGCTGCTGGTTAGGTTATCCGCTTATATGGCTGGCCATTTTTATATAGAACAGCAACAATAGTTTGATTTCATGGGTTATTTAACTCCGAAAAATAATTAAACTAAAGATATCAACCATAATGGTTGAATAGATTCAGTTCAAAGTGCAATCCTGGGTTAACTTTCAACCCTGACGTAAAGGTAGTACCCGGAGCCTTCAGTAAACCTTCTCTCCTCTTCTAGAAACATTGAGATTCAGTACTTAAATACATCTGGAGGTCTAATGTGAATAACGTCCAGAACTGTCCTTAGTTCAGGAAATCTTCCAAAATGTGAGTTCACCCAAGAACATTATCCCTCTACCTACAGTATATCTAGAAAGAATTCAAACCTTCTCTACACTTCACTGAGTACTTCACCAAAAAGTTGCCTTATTCTGTTCAGAATATTTTCCAAGATTGGTGCTAACTTTAAGGACTTTATTCATGCCTTAACTTGCCTTTGGGCCAATTAGCCCATCACCCCATTCTGTCCAAACTAAATATAGAAACTTCTAATTTGAATTTATATAAGAATATATATAAACACAGTGTTGCAAATATTAATCTAATTATAGCAATATTTGATAATTTTTTAATCGTAAATATGTCTCTAAACAATGTATAGAGAGCAGTACACAGGATGTCTCAAAATAAACTATACTCCACACATCACAACAGCTGATCCTTGGAAATCTTCTAATATTCTTCTGCAGCGCAGAAATAAAGTTTAATTTGTGAATTTGATGCTGACACGTAAAAGAGTATTTTTAAGTTATGCTTGACAAGTAATGTCAATTTTTTAAATAAATGATTTTTGCTGAGAATAGTTGCCCAGTGTATCTGATGGAATAGTAATATTTATTATTTTTGATGAAATATAGAAAAATTGAACCATTGACAATAATACGTATTGAATGAACTCTTTATATATTTAAGCTTCGTGTGAATTATTTAATAAAAGATTCTATTGATTATAATATCGTAAAACTATTTTCAGATGAAACTTATCAATTATGTAAAGTATGAAATCTAAGCTATAGTTCGTAATCTGTAGTTTAATTTCAGATATGTAAATAATGAACTACTTTCTGCGGAGTTGACGAATCTCGAAAAAATGGAATATTCAGATCATATGTGGTGAGATGAATATCAATTTTTGGCATTATATTATTCTTCATTTTTGCTAGCTTCTTACCCACCAACACGAAATTTTTTACGGCAACAAGTTAACAATTTCATTTCTATTATACTAGCTGGGGAACTCAGCTTTGTCTGAAAACGCAACAAAAATTTGAGGCCAGTCGGCCAAGGGGTTCCTGAGTTCTGATCAGATATCAAACCTAACAGAGATTACTACTTAATATTCGTCGAAGAAATGTTTTCTGCACAAAATATTTGTATTTTTAACTCGTAAATTTGGTGTTTTTATTTTTTTTTGTATTTTTTTCATTGAACACTAAATACTCGTTGTTGCTTTTAAGTAGAAATTTTTATATTTGTTTTTATTGACGATTCACAAAGATACTACAGGGTGTCCCAAAAAAAATGGGAATTCAGTGACGAATTTGTATCGTCTTTGTTATGAATTAGCATTGTACCTAATTTCAAAAGCCATAATATTATTATGTCTGCTAGAGCTTATTTTATGAAAAGGGTAAAAGACTGTAAAGATGTGTCTATAATGTCTCCGCAAGATGAACATTGAAGACAGACAAGTTTACTCTGTTTGTATACTGCAATTTTCTTGTTTTACTAAGTACAACTGTATGCAGTCAAAACATAAACAAACAAAATGTAAACATAGCAGACGAAACTCTTACAGATTACAGCTTTCTCAGTAGGTATCACTACACTAAATCAAAGAATTATTTGAAAAGACGATATCGAATTCGTCACTGAATTCCCATGTTTTTTGGGACACCCTGTATTTGATAAGCTGGTTAGCTACTTGTGTGGAACAGACCAGTAATAAAGGCTGATAACCATGGTGCCATATAGGGGTATATATTTTAGTTAAAAAAGATTCTCTGGTTAATATTTGGAAAGGTGCCAGGCAGGTGTAGGTTTCTGCAATTGTATACTAAGCTAAATCTCAATTCCCCCCCCCCCGGGTTGGGGTTTATCCTGAAAATTATACACCCCTATGATTATTAATTATTGTTAAATGGAAAAACGGTTCATATTAACTTTACACACTGAAATATTTCAGCTATGTTCGCACAGAGGAGTTGGAGAAGAAGGCAAGAGAGTTAAATATAGTTCACAGGAGACATTATTCTAAACCTGAGTTTCTCGTCTCTAATCCCAAACAGAGGAAATGGGGTTTAGTGATAACTCCGGAAAATCTGGTTGCTCTGACCATCAGGCGACAAGAGGACCGGCCTCTTAGTGACCTTGAGACCTTACACTGGTTTCTAATGAACAATAGAAAGGAGTGCTTGGCATATCCAATATCAGATAATTTCTCTAGATTGGATCTAGTCCCTTCATTTGTTCCTCTTCTAGACTTCTTAGCGGTGGATTCAGAAAGGTTTGATTCTTGGAAATATCCTAATTCTTCAGAACTTAAACTTTTTCAAAAAAATCGAGGAGTAGATATGCATTCTCTTCAATCTGATGAGGATCGGGTTAATGTTGTGGTTCGGGAGATTGTCGTGGGTTCCGCTACTAAGGAAGATATGGATGAACTTTGGAAGTTTTTTCAGTTTCATCATGAACTTGATCAGTCGGTATTTCCAGGCGGCGCAGTAAGCATAGTAGTCGAAGGAATTACAATACCACAAGGTGATCATGATAGGCTGGTCAAACTATGCGGAACTCGGGGTTATCATGATACCACAGACTCTTTACAACCCGGAGAATCAGTATATAGATTACCTGTTAAAATTCTAATTGGAAATGGATTGCGTTGGTTGATCTCAATAACCTGGCCGGTTGAGAAGTTACACAAGAGTCGGAAGATTTACCGTATCTGGGCTCCGACTCCGGAGAGAGAACTGATCGACTTCCTTTCCGATCTTCCTTCCTCCGTCGGAGTATCAAACACAGACGATATTCCAAATATTATCAAGTTTTATTCAAGTTTTTCTCCGAACTATCCCCTGGAGATGAGACCCTGGCTGAGTCTAAGCACACTAGCTATTGCGTGCGGATGGGAGTTAGCGTGCACCAACGTCAACGCTCTCAGTTTCAGTTTGACCGGCGGATTGCTGGATGACAGGTCATTTCGGGCGGACGGAGAATGGTGTTTGCCTTGGAGCGATCTTCCAACAGAGTTTAAAGTTTTTGCTGTTGGCGATATAAAACTTTGCTACATGGGTTTTATTATTCTCACTGCAACCCTTATCAGAGATACGTTTCCCGATCCAGATTCATTGGGGTTCATTACTCTGGATAAACCTCAGTTTGAATTAACCAGAAAATTTTGTTCATACATCGTACATTCATTCCGAAGACTCAGTGTGAATGAGAAATTGAGAGCTGATCCAGAAACCAAATCTAGATTAGATCTACTAAATTGCATTAGGGAAGATCAATAATTGCTTATTATTTTATTTATTGGATTTTGAGGTTCGGTGGAAGGGAGAGTGGGTTGATTTTAAAATAAAAATAACAAATTTATAAACATTCCCCTAGACAAAGTTTTATTGTTCTTATGTTAGAGAGAGAGATGAGAAGACCGGTTTATTTTTACCTGGAATTCCCCACGGGGTCAAGGTTTGGGGTGAACTTCTTCAATCCTGGCCCGCCCTAACCCTGGGGGGACCCAGATATCTGCTACAGGCAAGGATTCACATCATCCATCAGTACAACGTGCTAACCAGGAGTGAAAATAAGGGTTGGGAGAATTTTTTTGTTCCTGAACTAACCATTTCCATGATTAAATATCTCAGCTTCGGTCGGTCTTTAGAGTCGATCAAAAGTTGTGATTTTAATGACCCAGTACCTATAGATGAACCTGGACTCCTTCATCATATTCTCCTGGGATCTGTTGGACCTCTTAACCCCGCAAGGGTCCAGGTTGAAGATCTGGAAAGGTTGGCGATGGTCCCTCAACGATCTCAAGAAGCTGTTTACTATGAGTGGGCTCGACTTTTCAGTCATAGGATTGTTCAAATAATTAAAAATTCAGTTGGAAAGCTAAAAAGTAGCAGATTACTATCAAATAAAGCTAAAAAACAGTAGCTAACTATCAAATAAAATGTTACTCGTTGAGACAGTAAAGATTGTTTAAAATGCGTTGATATCTGAAAGTACGGATTATTTTAAAAATGAGATTAATAATATCTTTGCATATATACACAAATAACACCGCGTAGTAAAGCTAAAAAACAGCACCTTACTATTAAATAAAGCTTAAAACAGTAGCTAACTAATGTTGCTCGTTGAGACAGTAAAGATTGTTTAAGATCAGTTGATATCTCCCAAAGAACGGATTATTTTGAAATTGAGAATAATAATATTTTTGGATGGATTTGGAGTTTCAGATATTTTCTTGTTAGGGTTTTAATTATTTGAACCTGGTAGGTGTGTGGAGATATTTGAACGTTTGTTGGACCCTGCTGATCCGAACTCAGTAAACCAAAATCCTCTCAAGATTAAGGATCAACTAGAGTTCTACGAACACCTTCGTCTTATGTTCTTCAGGTTGACCGACAAGCAACCAGAGTTGGTTGTTTGGATTGAGGTCCTTCTTCTTGGGAAACTTAACAAAATCTCCCAGAGAGAAATGATGGAGTTTGAGGAGGCTAAGATGATGTTCGAAGCGAGACTGAAAAGGTTTAATTTTCTACAGAATAAAGTAAAAATTGGCTTAGGAACGTGTCGGGCAAATATGAGATTGCCAGATCTTCCCATTCAAAATCCTTTTAAGGAGGAAGAGATCGAAGCTAACCAGAGTTCGGGGAAAAGAAAATACGAGAGTGGCGTGGTCCCTAAGATGAATATTCTATCTCCTGAAAGAGTTGAGTTTCCTGAAAAATTCAGTAAGGGTGAATCTGGAAGAAGAGGCGAGATGGAAAACCCCGGGGCTTTTAATTCTGAAATACCAATAAAAAGGGATAGAAATGAGCCAAAGATGAATGCTAGAGACCGGGATTCGTTCGAACCTAGGGATTTGAATTTCATGAGAAACAATACAAACCGATTGGAAATTCACGGAGCAAACTTCAGTCCACAAGTTGCAGGAAGGATTGATCGACAAGATCACGAGTATAGACTTGAGGAACAGAACCGGGTTGAACCGATGAAATACCCAACAGATAACGTGGATATTGCCAACTCAAGTTTCTGGGATCGACAAGCATACAATAATGGGGGAAGAAATAGAAGATTTGATGAATCCGAGCTGGATGAAGGTTCAAGAGTACGGAGCATGTTCGAACAACAAGATTTAACAGCATCAATTCGGTATAAAGAGATTAGATCTAGAACGGAGGTTGATGATATTTCTCTTCTAGCTCAAAAAGATCGTCGGCAACCATCGATCCCCAGAAACACAGATAGAGGTAGAGTATTTCTACATGAGGAGAACCAAACCGGGTCAAGAGAGTCTGGACGAGGTTCAGAGAGAAGACGAGATCGGGTTAGTAGTGATTCAGATATTGAATGGATCGAAACATAGAGAAAGTAAGAGACGATGTTCTTGAATCTGATCTAAGTTAAAATATGTGAATAATTGTAACATTGTGATTTTTGTTCTTCGTATATGAGCAAATTCGTGTTGTTTGTTTGTGAAACGTATTCAATAAAATAGATGTTACTTATGATGGATCTTACTGCCAATTCAGTGCAGTTTATTTTACACATTTTTATGGCTCACAAAATATATACTTGTTAAGAATGTTCATTCTTATTACATTTTAGGTAAGTTCAACTTGACCATTTTGGGAGCGCCGGGGTTCCAACTAGATGCATCTTGGGAAGGTTCAAATTTAATCCATCTTAAGAAGATCCAAATTTTATCATTTTGGGAGCGCCAGGGTTTCAACTAGATGCATCTTGGGAAGGTTCAAATTTAATCCATCTAGACTTGGTTTAAACTTTATCCGTAATGAGAAGGTCCAAACCTTATCCATCAATTAAGAAGGTATTTTGAAGGTTAAAACAATCCATATCAAGACGGTTCAAACTTAATCTATCTTAAAGAAGATCCAAACTTCATCATTCTGGGAGCGCCGGGATTCCATGACTTCATGCATCTTCAGAAGGTTCTAACTTAATCCATCAAGACTGGTTCAAACTTTATCCAAACAAAATGATAAAAACTAAACATTATCCATCCAATAAGAAGGTTTTTAAACTAATTAAACCTAAGAAGGTTTAAACTTACTTCATCTTTATCAGGTTAAATCGTGCATGCTCCAACAATTAAGGAGATTTTAACAGTAATCAATCTTGAGAAAGATAATAACTTAATTCTCTACTTAGCGAGGTTCAAACTCCAATGTGAGCAGATGGTGCTTAATCTCTATCGCAAGAAAAATATAAACCATTATGCGTAGGACTATAAATTTTATCAATCTTTAAGAGGCTTTGACCCTAAAATTATAACTTCAGTTTGAGAAATTCTTAACTGTATCCGTCCAAGATCCATCTTTTGTGAGAATAATCCATGGATCTACATCCTATAGGGGTTACCAGCAAAGGATGAAACTTCAGAAACGACTTTGCACAAAAGATAAGCTCTTATCTTGAATTAAAAATTCTCTTCAGACTTGTAAGCTTTCAGCGTTTTTGCTAAATAATTTATGATACCTAAAAGTAGCTATATTCAAAGTAGAAAACAGAAGTAAACCTTAAGTTCAGGGGATATTAGTTACAAAACTAACACTTTGTCCATTTCAAACACTGAGTGTTAGAAATGGGCTAAATCCGCAAAGTTATCTTTTTCAAGAATATATTTCTTTAAATGCAAGACGAGTAGAACAAAACTACATTGTTAGAAATGGCTAAAACTATATATTGAAACAATAAATGTTAACTTTAAACTAATGTTAAAGGGACTGAAAAGGAAAAATGAAAGGGGGTATAGGCTGAAAGCTAATCACTTAAGCTCTCGATCGCTACCCATGAAAGTTATATCTGATGTTCCTATCTCGAGAAATTGATTTACAACTTTGTCAAATTTATACGGAAATTAATATATATACAATTTTGTATAAAAGTAGAGGGTTTAAAAAGATCAAATTCAGCAAATATGCAACTAATCTGAAAACATTGATATCCCAGAGAAAGCTAATTGTAACTTAGGTTTACTCCAATTCTAATTTTATATTTCTTATTTCTATTTTTTATAGATATAATTCATAATATTATTTATACCTCCGTATTGCTTGACCAGAAATTCCACCAATGGCAGTGCAGTAAAGTGGTCACATGATACAGCGGAGACACATGACCAGTATACTGCTCTGCCATTGGTGATAGTTCTCGTCACGTGATTTAAGTTTAAGATTTTCAAAATTTTACATATATGAGACTTCTACATTTTTTGTTTTTCATTCTTTTTTCTTGATCATCCATTCCTTGTCCATCCTTCAATCATACTTTGGCTAATTTTGAAAATAAAAATAAATGAAATTTTTGGATGTTTTCTGCTGCTAGCCAAATTGCAGAGGCAGAACTATTTTTTGGATCCCTGTATCTATATTCTATATTCTGAGAGTGGCAAGGTTACTCTCTCCCTTGTTTGTTCCATAACTGCACCTGATATGCAAAATGGGGAGTTGTGATCCCTGAAAACTCTCTTGAGAGGTATCTTCCATGGCAGTCCAGTCCTCACATCTGGTCGAGTAAATACCGGTAGCGTTGTGCATTACTTGTATTCCCACGAGGGGTTAAACTCCTCTTTCAGTGCACCAAGTCAAAGATGAAGTTTTGTTTTAATCTATGCTTCCAGCTTCCCCTGTAGAATACAAGATGCGTAACTAAACTCAGCGCTTCCCCAGCTGTAATTCTGGGACTACATAGTAGGTCCGTTCTGCTAACTAAAATTTTAAATTCACATTTTTGCCTATCATAATTCTTAAATAGTACAAATTAACAAAAAATGTATTTTAACCAGGGAGGAAGGAATAGATGGGAGATATAACTGACCCAGTTCGCCGCCCTATCATATAATTATACATATGCTTTGCAGACGGTACTTAATTTGAATAAGAAATATTTGTCTGATGTACAATGACTTATTCTGAATATTTCTTCTTATACAAATGGAGTACCGTCTGCAAAGCATGTAATCATATCAATCATATGGTAGGGCGAACCGCGTCCATTTTATCTCCCTTCAATTTCTTACTCCCTGATTCGAACTAAAACTTTAAAATTACAGCTTTGAAATGTCGTCTTCCGTTCCGAACCCACTGTGTACACTCTTCTACCTGCCTGGAACAGGTTTTTCATTTCCTACTATTGACGTAGACGAATTAGAAATCTCTCTACTCTCCTCTTGGTTTTTATGACGAAACTCGAAACTGCGCTAAGATATATATTATTTATCCATTAAAATGGTGACAGATCCTGAGGTGAAAGAAATTCTAGAAAAATTTTATGATTTTCTAAATATGGCTTCTGCCGCATTGACTAGAAATCAAATGAAAATAGTTTTAAAAGAAATGTTGCTGAAGCTTGAGGAAATGAACCAGTTAAAGCAAAACTTTTTAATTCCAGGTGAATTAGTTCAAATTATATTTGACGTAATTGAAATAAAATCTTGTTAAATACCGTAGTAAATATATCCGAGAGATGCCGGCCTGTAATATAATGTCTCCACGAACGCCTACAATACGATGCTAGTTTTAATTGTAGAAAATGATTTTTGAACTTGGTATAGTTTTATAGAACTTGTTTTTTTTACTTATATTTATTGTTTAGTTGTTTCTGAAAACCTGGAAATAGAAGGGTTTGTTTTGAACGCTGAAAACTCTAAATCTTCTCATAAACTTCAGAGGTTAGTTTTTTTAAGACTTTTATTTATTTATTATGGTATCCAGTTCGATACACACAAATAATTTCACTTTCTATGAAGTGGAAATTTGTTGAACTTCTGTTCTGACGTCATCTTACTTGCGTTTAAAAAATCAATACCCCGAGAATAGTAAGAGATTTGACAATTTTATCATCTTGTGACTTATCTAAGAGCTGAAATTTTGTAATCCATACAATCCATAATTTATTTTCTATTCATACAAATTGTATTAATCTGTTTGTCTATTTTGTATTTTTTTTGTTTGTATGATCTTTTCGAATTAACCCCTCGACTGACTGGGGAACCCGGTAAACCACAGAAATGTTTTAAGCTTGGATTATTATTTTTAATTTGAATGAGTTGATTATAATCGAGAAAGTTTAGTTTCCAGGAAAAGCTGGCTTTCCGAGCTAGTTATAAATGAAAATATAGCCTGAGATCAGTTATGAGCAGTGCTTAGGATCCGGATCCGTTGGATCCGCAAGATTTTTGCTTCCTGGATCCAGATCCAATGGGTGAACTATTAACCAAAAACTGCAAAAAAAACTTGTTTTCTCCTAAAACCCAAATTTTAAAAATATCCTCATTTTTAAATGGTTGTGGGATAAAAATAAGGGAAAAAATTAAAACAAAAAATGTGAATATTATTTTTTGTAAAAAAAATCTGAAAGGAATGACCTGGATCCGGATCAAAATTTAATGGATGCTAAGCACTGGTTATAAGTGTAATTTATGTATGCTCAGGACACATGTGATTGATGTTCAAGAAGTTGAGGAAGTAGAACATATTGAAGAGGATGATGGGTCTGCTCTAGAGAATAGAAACCAAGATCAAATTGTTGAAGAGGAGAAAACCAATTTATTCTTTTTCCTTGATGAGAATAATGAAACCATTACTTCAGATCAAATTATTCAAGGTTTGTTATTTAATTTTAAGTTATTCATAGATTACACAGAAGATAAGAGATTTAGAATATTTTCCCCAGATATCTTAATAATTTGACTAGTTTAAGGGGACGTTAGTTCCAAAACTAACACTTGGCCCACTCAGTGTTATTTCTAAAAAAAAATAAAATTTAAAGACTTGGATTTTAGGATTTAAAGATATATACGCATATATATATATATATACGCATGGGGAAGATAACTTTGCTGACTTGGCCCATTTCTAACACTCAATGTTAAAAATGGGCCAACAATTATTTTTTAAACTAATTTCTCCTGAATTTGCTAGTTTATTTTTTACAGAAGATGCAATACTAGGATATCTGCAGTCTGAGGTTAAAATTTAAAATGCTCGATCTCTATTTCCACTGTGCCAACTATTAAATTAAAATAAAATGCTTTATCGCTTATCCTTACTGGGTTCTGACCACCCCGCAACTTAGGATATCCGAGAGTAATCGCTTTAATCCTAAAAAGTTTTGACTTCTTTTTTATCTAAATTCATAATTTATTCAAAAGCTACCAAATTATTCAAGTATGTTTATTGTTCATTTTTCGTCTTTATTTATCATCTTAATTTTCTTTGAACTTCTATTTTAGATTCATCGGAAAACCTAGAAGTAGAAGAGATGGTGGAGGATGTTATTAATCCTCTTGAAGACGACGGCGATGACAAGAACGGGATACTTGAGGAAGTTTGGTCAGATGAAGAGATATTGACAGAACCAGATTCTGAACCTGTTCCCTCTGGCTTAGATTCATCTCCGACAAATCTTTTTATCACAGCCCAGGTAAGCCCTACGAACACATTCACACTTTTAATTAGGGAAAGTAGTTTTTCAATCACTACTTTCTAAACCGGAAATCCTTTCTTGATATATTCCAAATTAGTTCAAATTAGGTAAAGAAAAATAAAACTGGTAATATGATGTTTGCCAACTTTCATTCTCCTCTGTATCATGTTTATTACTTTAACTAGCGTCACATTGCGTAATGTAAACAAACGCATATTTACGTTTAGGATTCCTCCAACCCTCTGTCCTGCTGCCTATGTGATAAATCCTTCAAGTCTGTAAGTGCAGTTGAGCATCATTTACAAACCAAGCACAAGGAGGAGAGGGGAGAAGTTAGAACTAAGATCTACTGCGGAGAGGACGGATGTAACTACTCAACCTTCAGTCAGAACCTTCTCAAGGCTCATATATACTCACACGCTAACAATGCTCCACTCACCTGTCCTGTCTGCGAGAAGGATTATTTAGGTAATTCTTACAAGTTTTAAAATAAAAAAGTAAAGGATGCTTTTTCAGATTATTACTCCGTATTTCATTCTGAAATCACATTATAACTTTTCTTTTATGGTGACACTACTGGAGTCTTAGGCCATCCCTACCACATTTTATTTTATTTGAGATGACAATATCCGAAAATTAACATTTCCGTAAAAGACTAATTCGGAAAAGCAATTTCTGAAATAACGATTGCCTAGTACGGAGTCTAATATTCCGGATTTATCGGGTCGCCATTTTTACCTAATTGCTTCATTTATAATATTCAACAGACTTGAAATTAACAAGTGTTCCTTAGCACACGAAACAACTATTGATTCATATTCTATACTACAGGAGGTCCTAAGGCTCTGAAACAACATATGAAGATACATGAAGTTACTCGAAACTATTTCTGTGATCAGTGCAACAAAACATTCATTAATCAGAGCAGATTAACTCATCACATACAAAACGTTCACTCGAACTCTAATTTCCACTGCGACCAGTGTTCAAAGATGTTTAAATCTAAAGCCAACTTTCATCGGCATATGAGAATACACACTAATGAGAAACCGTTCTCTTGTCCCTACTGTGGATTCTCTAGCAACCATTCAGCAAACCTAACCTCACATGTTAGATCCGTTCATAAACAAACTAATTTCACAACTGGGAAAGAAGAAAAGTCGAGGAAAAAGGCACATTTGCTTAAAAATATTATTGAAAATAAAAGTAGCCGGTTGATAACATCACTCCTGGGTGGATTACCTGTAAACGAGGAAAATGTTTCTCAAAGCCTGGGAAAGAACTTGTTCAGAAAACTAGCTGATGCCGGAGAAATACAGTCGATAAATATTCCTCAACTCGAACAAAATCTTAAACCTAATCCAAATTCTCTGATAAAAGTGAAGACCGCGAAACCTGATTTCTGCCTAAAATCCGCGAAAACTGACAAGATTATTACTGTTACAAACAGCCAGGGACAGCTGGTCAAGGCAGTGGTTAAGTTAAAGAGGAGTAGGGCTGGGGGAGACCAAATTTTACATGTTTGCGTTAAAGATTAATAATTTCAGATTTAGACAAATTTAAAAATGAGTCTGGCGGAGTTACCGTGCTACACTATTATCAATGTTCCGTCTGATTTTGAGACACCAAACGAGATTCAGCTCAAGAATGATCTGGAAAAAGGAGATATCAAGGTAAAAAATTAAGAACAGATAAGATCAAACATAATTACAGAACATTTTTTGAAAATATTCAATTCTCAGGTTAAAACTGAAGCTCTGAAAAAGATAATTTACATGATCTTGAACGGGGAGAAGATACAGAACATGCTCATGAATATTATCAGGTTAAACTATTTACGGATTAAATAGTATTTAAAGGTTTCAAATACAATGAAAATTAAGCCTTGCAACCTCCCGAAAAATCACCAGAAGGACGAAATAGTTTTTTTATGATTAACTTGTGTTCTATTTGGCTCTCTTTTTGCATTTAAACGTATAGGAAGATGCAGACAAACATTGAAGACAGACACAGAATCACAAAGATAGAGAGAAAGACACAGACAGACAATAGAAATACCAGTTTAAAATTTTAAATGATCGAAAATCCTTTTATTAGTAAAAATTTAACCGAAAGTTTTGTTCAGATTTGTTCTGCCGAGTCAGGATCATATGATAAAGAAAATGCTTCTAATCTTTTGGGAGATAGTTCCTAAGACCTACCCAGACGGTAAACTCATGCAGGAGATGATCCTGGTCTGTGACGCCTATAGGAAGGATCTGCAACATCCAAACGAGTTCATTCGAGGATCTACACTCAGGTTCCTGTGTAAACTGAAGGAACCGGAGCTACTTGAACCTCTCATGCCGACTATTCGTTCCTGTCTGGAGCACAGGCACTCATATGTTAGGAGAAACGCGGTGCTCGCCATCTTCACGATCTTTAAGAACTTTGATTTCTTGATTCCTGATGCGCCGGAGCTCATTGCAAACTTTCTGGACAGTGAGCAGGATATGAGCTGCAAGAGGAACGCGTTCATGATGCTGATTCACGCGGACCAGGACAGAGCACTGTCCTTCCTCTCCACCTGTATGGACCAGGTTCAGAACTTTGGAGATATTCTCCAGCTCGTCATTGTCGAGCTCATTTACAGGGTGTGTCATCAGAACCCGTCAGAGAGATCAAAGTTCATCAGATGCATTTATAATCTTCTCAATTCTAGCTCAGCAAGCGTCAGGTTGGTTCAAGATTTCTATAATATCAGGCCCATTTTCTAGTAATTTTAGATTCGATTTTTCTGTTTTCATGAGCTGGGGTCATGGAAGAGGTTTACACAATACGTTTTACGTTTTTTGATACAAACAAACAGACAAGCCAAATATTTTTGAAGGCTAGTCCATCCGCTGGTGGTCTGGGTTCATGTGGACGTTGTTAGATTCTCGTATTTTTAGATTTAAAAGCATAACTTTTTTTTAAAAAAATTATTCTTTTAGATACGAGGCTGCTGGAACCCTAGTTACTTTATCTAGTGCTCCTACAGCTGTCAAGGCTGCAGTCTCAGCTTATATCGATCTGATCGTTAAGGAGAGTGATAACAATGTTAAACTGATCGTCCTGGATCGATTGATTGCTATGAAGGATGTTCCCTCACATGAGAAGGTTCTCCAGGAATCTGTGATGGATATAATGCGAGTTCTCGCCTCTCCTGATCTTGAGGTTAGACGCAAAACTCTAAATATTGCAATGGAGCTGGTTACCTCCAGGAATATTGAGGAGCTGGTTCTTATCCTCAAGAAGGAGATCTCTAAGACCCAGGGGGTTGTGGAGCAGGATGATAACGGAAAATATCGTCAGTTATTGGTTCGAACCCTACACTCTACCTGCATCAAGTTCCCAGATGTTGCCTCCTCCGTGATCCCGCTGCTCATGGAGTTCCTCTCAGACAACAACGAGCTCGCCGCCATGGATGTTCTCATCTTCGTCCGGGAGGTGATGACAAGATTCAGCAATCTTCGTCCGATAATCGTGGAGAAACTCTTGGAATCTTTCTCTTTGATCAGTAGTGTTAAGATTCATCGCGCTGCTCTTTGGATCTTGGGAGAGTTCTGTGAGAAGATTGAGGATATGAGGACCTTCATGGCGGAGATCAGGTTACATAGCCTTACTAAATAAGGGGTTGAGGGATAATTGAAGGGTTAAAGCATAAGTTCGTCAAGATAATATAAAGAATGCTTTTTTGTTTATTTTTTAATTTTTCCAGAATTACTCCCTACATTTTAAAGATTAAACACGATTTTAAGGCAATAATGTAAATCTCTGTCACACTGATCCTATTTAGACAATCCCTGGGAGAACTCCCTCTAGTAGAAGACGAGATGAAGAAAGCTGCTGGTGAAGAACCTCCTGGAGACGAAGGTGTATCCTCTGCACCTGCAGGATCTACGCAGCGTCTTGTAACAGCTGACGGAACTTACGCAACCCAATCTGCGTTCAGCTCCAACCCGGAGAGTGTTAAAAAGAACACCGAAAGGCCTCCTCTACGCAAATATCTGATGGAGGGAGACTTCTTCATTGGCGCTGCCCTGGGTAGTACACTCGCTAAGCTCGCGTTAAGGTTTGCAAGCCTGGTTCAAGATGAGAAGAAGGAGAATAAGTTTAATGCTGAGTGTATGTTTGTAATCACAACAATCATGCACCTGGGAGTATCAGGGCTCCCGGAGAAGAAGATCACTAAAGATGATTTAGATAGACTAAACCTCTGCCTCAAGGTAATAATTAGATAGTAGATGAGATAGAAGACGTAATCACTAGAGTGGTATGGCCCTTTAAACCTTTATCTGAGCAATGATAAAGAAGATATCACAGTTTGAATGTTTATCTGGACAAGTTTTGAATTATGAAAATTTCCTTTTTACTCTTCTGCTGCATAAGCATAAATCTGCAAATCGCTTTTACAGATAACAGCATTTGAAAATAATAAATTTGAATAGAAAATAGGGTAACTCGCTCAATTTTGTCCAGACAGATTTAATTATTAATTATCTAATTAATTATTTTTTTAAAGGGTACCATTTTAAAATTTACATGCCTCTATTGAAATGTATTGTCATTTGAAATTATATCTACAGTCCCTTTAGACAATGATAACTACGAACTGGTCCATTGATGTTAAACATTCAGGTTCTGTCTGACCGGAGTTCTATCCTGGTTCAAGTATTTACCTCGGAGTGCCGGGATGCATTGGAACAAATGCTGGAGGCTCAGGTAGGAATCTTGTCCTGTAAAACATCTCGGCTTGAACTTAATTTATTTTTAATACTTCGACTGTGGTCTGGGTTACCCATAATGTGGCATCTGGTTGACCTTATTTTGTTTTGTATACCTGCTCGTGAAAAGGTTTAAATATAGAGCAACAATTTTATCTTATGCAAATTTAGACATTGGAGAAAATATTAAAGTTATTCAATTATACAATGATACTCTAATGAATTCTGTTTTAAGCCAATTGACAGATTTATATTTATCTTGCTAATTCAGTTACTCTTAAACTTTTTTTACAATGTTAGGTTGTCCTTTAATAATAATAATAATACAGGGTGTCCCCCGACACATATTGAGAAAAGACTTAAAGATTGACTTTTATTTTAAAGATTTAATGGTTAAATGTTATTTAAAAGTTATTTAAAAGCCCATAACTTAAAAGTCCACACATGAAGCTTGAAAGTCGTGCAACTTATCGATTGTTTTGAGATTGCTATCTAAGACCAAAGTCTTAGAATTATCATTTTTTAGTGGGACACCTTTTATACATAATATATATAGATTTTTATTGTTATATTGTTCAAAGAATTGTAACTACTGAGGATCGTCATGATGGCGTGAAACATTATGTTTAGTATAATTCTTTTTTAATAAAAAATGTGAAGATTTCATATAAATAGTATTTTCAACTTTTTTCAGTTTAAATATGCATATATATTTATTCCATGACAAAATGTTTCATGGGTCTAACCCAATCATCATTTGGAATAAAATATATCAGTCTTAACTTGTGTATCGAGAACTCTTGAAATCCTTGGTTTTCTACAATTGAAGATTTCTATATATATATACTTGTCAAACAAATATTAATATTTGAATATTTAGCTCCAGGTTGAGACTAGCGGAACTAAAGGAGAGAAGAAGACTGTAGCAGTTCAACCGGATTCTCCAATCAACTTCCTCCAACTCTCCAAGTTTGATAGTTTAATGGGAGCAGGAGATGTGTTGGATCTATCCCTCTCCGCTGCTCTGGGTACAGGCAAAATCAGCAATGTAGATTTTGCCACCTCGAAGTTGAACAAGGTAAAGATTGAATAAAAAGAATTTAAAATGTTAGATTATTTGTTATTTCGTGTAACAATTAGCAATAACGCGTACTAGAGTGTCTTAGTAAAAGATTTAAGATCAAATTACAAATATAAGAATTAATTTGAAGGTTAACGATGTTTATAAACCTCATAAAATGCAGAGAAGAAAGGAATTTTAAAAAGAGAGTTAGAAACAGGAAAGGGATGGCGAAACAAATCTTTTTTATTAGAGAATTGTATTTAAAAATTGCAGTTTGTAATCAAAGTTGAATATTATAAAATGTAAACCTTGATAAAAGAGATTCTATATTGGATTTGAATTAAGATATTATCAGTTACAAACCTAACTCTTTATATATTGTGAAGGTTACCCAGTTGACTGGACTGTCCGACCCAGTATACTCCGAGGCCTACGTGAACGTGAACCAGTACGATATCGTCCTGGATGTGTTGATTGTGAACCAGACCAGGGACACCCTGCAGAACTGCACCCTGGAGCTCGCTACCCTCGGGGATCTCAAGCTGGTGGAGAAACCTCAGGTAGGATCAACTTTCGAGTTTAAAGAGACACTTCCCAAGTTTTTTAATTATTTATTAGCTAATATGTTACTTTTCTCTAGATAGATAATCCTTAAACAACAATTAGCTACTCCGACTTTGATTTAAATTTGCTTAGATTTTAGAGGGAGTTTTACTAATCTACCCATAGAAAAATCATTAACTATTTTTTTTAACAATTCATTATTTTTGAATTTTTAATCTTTTAAATTCTGGTTTGATTCTCCTTCTTGTCATCGTTTTTTTCCGTCTTACTTTTACTTTTCCTTCTGTTGACTGATAATTTTTAAAGAATATAAGTATTTATTGGGACACTCTGCTCAATTGTAGTTGTAGTTTTCAGTTTTATTGCCTATCCAAGAATGCCAGACTGATTAAAAATTAATTGTAAACTAACTATTCATCTGTTTAGCCGATAGTACTTGCGCCGAACGACTTTGCCAACATCAAAGCTAACGTGAAGGTGGCCTCCACCGAGAACGGAATCATCTTCGGGAATATTGTGTACGATGTGAAGGGTGCTGTTAGTGACAGGAATGTAGTTGTGCTGAATGATATTCATATTGATATCATGGATTATATTGTTCCTGCAACCTGTACTGAGACAGAGTTTAGAAGTATGTGGGCAGAGTTTGAATGGGAGAACAAGGTGGGATATCTTACAGTTTCAAACTTAACCAAATTTTATAAAAACGCAAAAGAAATACTTTCTATAAGCTGATATTTAGTGGGATTTTTTCAATTGTGAAGATTGCGACTTAACCTGGATTAAAAACCGCCAATAGCTTGATAATCAATGAGAAAATTCATGGCCGTAGCTAGGATCCTGGAGGATACAATAAAATATTTTATATTTGTCAGGTGTCCGTAAATACTACCCTGAGCAACTTGAGCGAATACCTTGCCAGCCTTCTCAAGAACACCAACATGAAGTGTCTGACTCCGAATAAAGCTTTGTCTGGAGAGTGTGGATTCATGGCAGCTAATCTTTATGCAAAGGTAGAGTTTTTACAATTCAGGAGAAAAATAACAATCCATAACAAATGGTAAAACTTGTTTGTCTTAAATCTATGATGACAGACAGGTTAAACCTTAGATTCAGCCTTATTGGTGCCACAGGGGTGTATATTTTCCTGAAAATTCATTTCTACCCCCCTCTTTTGAAAATTCCTTTTTTTTCATAAGTTCGGTAAATAAATTAAGTTGTATTCTCTGAATTGAGGAAATTAAAAACATTTAGGTGTAACGTATGAAAAAGGATGAAAAAACTTGCCTCTGCATGTCCAATATTTCATCCCCCCCCCCCCCTCCTATGATGCCATGCAGGATTCGCCGACTTCCCCCCAATTTAAGGAGTAAACCGCAAATACAAGTTTTTTCATTGCAAGACTTTATTTTTTTTTTCGCGGATTTTGTTCATGTTTGATTATGTTGTTTTTTAGTCAATATTTGGCGAGGATGCCCTTGCTAATGTCAGCTTAGAGAGGAATCTATCCAAACCCGATGCACCTGTCACCGGTCATATCAGGTAACATTTGTCATCGTTAAATAAGTTCAACTGATCAGCTGATTTTTCTGAAAATAAGAAAAGCTGAGTTGGGAGCTTATGAATATTTTTCGTTTGTTTATAAATTTCGACCTCAATTAAAATTTAGGTTAACGACTTTTTGATGCCTCTTTTTCCGGACCAGCTTGAAAATAGTAGATTTCTTTCATGAAGCAATCTTTCATGTTTTAAAATGTTTACTATACAAAAAAAGGAAGAAAGTAGTTCTGGGCTGAAAACTTTAGAATAGTGGATATCCAGATCAATGCTTGATCTCCTCTTTTTCTTAATCTCCAGATTGAATAAGGCTTGATAATAATCTTCAGATTAATTAACCAATCGGGATTAAAAATATCCCATTCTAAAGTTTTCAGCTTTGATGAATTTTGAAAGTGGATGTAAAATTATGATTTGATTGCCACTAATTTGATGTCGATCCGATGTTTCATAAAAGAGTTTAAAAGAAAAGCCAGTTTGGTTAAATTTTTTTTTAAAGTTAGTTTCTCTGCTATTTATGTAAAATCAAATGCTATTTATTAACAGTCATTGTATCGATATTGGGATGATTAATGATCAGTGCACAACAATTTCTGTTATTTCAGTTTTTGTTCATTCATAATAGATAAAGCCTGTTCACAGTTTTAAATAATTATTTAAAATCACTATATCAAAAAAGCATTAAAAGTATTAAAAAGTATTTTCAATCAGATTTCATATCAGTATACTTTGCAAGTTAAACTGGAATATTTATTTTGAACAAAAACTTATTTTAATCATTATTTAGTTCGGGGGATTTTAACACTTTATATTTATTACATTTTCTTTAGCACATAACCCTTGCATTTTTTTTTTCTAAATACCATGAAGGCTTCTAACTCCCCCTTACTCCTAATCTTGGCATATAATTAATCCCGAAACTTTTTACAAGTTCTTTAATCTTTTATGATCTAGGATAAGAGCAAAGTCCCAAGGAATGGCTCTCTCTCTCGGAGACAAGATCAATCAATCCCAGAAATCTAGGCATAAGAAACCAACCGTGGCTCAGGGTTAAACTCAACCCTGGCTAGAGCTGAGTTGGAATCCATTCTCAGCTGAATTTTACATTGGATCAATATAGTTTTTTATTTAGTTCCGAACCAGTTTTATCGTGATCATGATGAATTCAAGATTTGTTTTCTAAATTCTATGTATGTATTCTGGAATTCATTTTATTATTAATGTTTGACTGTTTGTGTCGAACATTTTAAAATTTGGTTTGTGTGAAATAAAGATATATTTAATAATCTACATATTTTGCAATCTATTTATTAAATATTTTCTTTTTTTCTTTTATGTATATTTATTGTTTAATTATGAAATATGCCCATTTTTCCGAGTTGCTCATTCATAATATTTTATTCTGGTTACTTTGTTTCATTTTGCTCTCGTTAAATGTTATGCTGATTAACGATATCATTAAAAAAGATTCATTCCAATCGTTTATTTAGCCGGTCTACAAAATATGTTCATTTATAACAGTTCGTATCTAATATTGCAGCTAGCATTATAAAATATCTAAGTCGGATTTTTTTTAACAACGCTTATAATCTTAATAAAGAAATTACAATATATTAGACACACATCGAACTCTTCTTTTCCAATTTCTATTTTATCATTTTTGATGTACTTGTAAATGCTAAAAATCAATCCTCTCTGTCTTAGGAGTCATTTTTCTTGATAAAAAATGCCTACATTTTAATGTATTATGCAATGATACATTTTTTAATCTTTATTGTTGATGTTGTGAGAAAAACTCGACTGAACTCTTTAATTCAGTTTTTATTATTTTTATTTTCCTTATAAAAAGTTTCTATCGTTATAATTATATTATCGTTATATCGTTATATATCCATGGTTATAAGTAACAATAATATGAATACTGGAGTTTGTCAGTATTTGCCGCGGTATTCTGCAGGGGCGGTTTCAGTTGTAAACAGTAGAGCTACCTGTACACACATCCTTACAACATTCTCTTCAAGATTTGGAAAATTCAACTTTTTAGAATTTGACACGATTTTTTTATTTCTCCTGAAAGTCATATTTATTTAGCTTGGGTTTTGTATCGCGTTGGAGATTTTCTACGTGTGTCGTCATATGACCAGTTTCTTCATTTTATCATCAGATATTTTCAGAAAAATGGAGTTTGCTAAACCTGGAGATTTGGTGCTTAGTTCTGAAGTGTACAGTCACATTGTAAATGGAAAGGTTCGGAGTGAAGTCTGTGATCATTGTCTGATCCGTCCTGGAATATATTCTGAGATCCAACCCGTCTCAATCCTTAGAAGATGCAGTAGTTGTCAGGTATTGTACATTTCCTCGGATAGATATGACATAAAGAAAATATCTTTGGTTTAGATAGTTGGATTTTATTTTATGTTTATGTAAAAGTAAAATCACGACATAGCAGTTGTCCAGCAGTTGTCCTGAATTATACTATGACTTATTGGCCAATTTCTTATTCATGTTACCATAGATACAACTATATGTCTTATCTATCTATCTACACTGCTTTTGTAAAGCTTAACCATAGTGTGACTATGGCTCTACCTAAGGTAGAAAGTCTAAGAAATTGGCCATGTGAGGCAGTGACTTAAATAATTTTCACATCTCGCGTTCTTATTACTTGCAATACTATATGATTTAGAAGAAGTAAAAATTATTAATTTAAGCGAAATTACGACCTGTGATTTTTTATATTCGACCTGCTGCATTAAACATAATATTTAAACATAATCTTAATAAATTGTATGAATTCTTAATTTCAGAGGTAGGGCAGCGAACCATGAAATTTTTATTTAATTGTTCTTTCTAAAAGTCTCATCCTTTGCCGGTAACACTTTTTAAAGCTTGACTTTATTGTACTTTTGTCTCCTAGATTGTGTATTTCTGCAGCCGTGAATGTCAGAAAAGTTCTTGGAAGGAGCATAAAGTTGAGTGTGCATACTTGAAGAAGATTAGTCCGAGGATACCCCCAGATACAGTCAGGTTAGTTCAGTCCTGAGATAGACCTGGATACAGTCAGGTTAGTTCAGTCCTGAGATAGACCTGGATACCGTCAGGTAAGTTAAGTCCTGAGATAGACCTGGATACAGTCAGGTAAGTTCAGTCCTGAGATAGACCTGGATACAGTCAAGTTAGTTCAGTTCTGAGATAGACCTTGATACAGTCAGGTTAGTTCAGTCCTGAGATAGACTCAAATTTAGTCAGGTTAGTTCAGTCCTGAGATAGACCTTGATACAGTCTGGTTAGTTCAGTCCTGGGATATACCCGGATACTGTTAGGTTAGTTTAGTCCTGATATAGACCCAGATTATGTCAAATTAAATCAGTCCTGAGATAGACACGGATAGAGTCAGGTTAGTTCAGTCCTGGGATATACCCGGATACTGTTAGGTTAGTTCAGTCCTAAGATAGACCCAGAAACGGTTAGGTTAGTTCAGTCCTGAGATATACCCGGATACAGTCAGGTTAGTTCAGTCCTGAGATATACCCGGATACAGTCAGGTTAGTTCAGTCCTGAGATATACCCGGATTCAGTCAGGTCAGTTCAGTCCTGAGATATACCCGGATTCAGTCAGGTCAGTTCAGTCCTGAGATAGACCCGGATACAGTCAGGTTAGTTCAGTCCTGAGATATACCCGGATACAGTCAGGTTAGTTCAGTCGTGAAATATACCCAGATACAGTCAGGTTAGTTCAGTCTTGAAATATACCCAGATACAGTTAATTATAAGTGAGAAATCCTAGATCAATAAGTTTTCTGTTAAAGGTTAATGATCCGGGTCCTACTAAAGCTCGATAAAGGTGGTATGCATGGAGAAACCCTTCCAGACGGAACCCTGCGTAGGTTTTCCGATCTTCTAACCCACGAGACGGAGATACTCAAGTGCCCGAAAAGATCTGAAGCTTTTCAGCATTTCCTCCAACTTGTGGAAATATGCTTCAGCAAGGAGAAGTTCCAACCTACTCTTGTCTTTCAGGGATACATGTTCAAGCTTTGTTTAATATATAAACTACAGGACAGTACTCAATATATAAACTACAGGACAGTACTCAATATATAAACTACAGGACAGTACTTGATATATAAACTACAGGACAGTACTCAATATATCTCAAATGAGATTACTTCTCTGTTAAACTCCAGTGCTAAGTCGAGAAAACTTTTTAAGCTTTAAGTCACTTGAAAAAGTTTCTAGTTTGATTGTCTTGTATATTTGTATTACATGGTGTACTGCAGAATAATCTTAAATATATATATAGCTAGATGTACTGTAGGATAATCATGAATAAATGTATGGCTAGGTGTACTGCAGGATAATCTTTAATATATATATGGCTAGATGTACTGCAGGATAATCATGAATATATGTATGGCTAGGTGTACTGCAGGATAAGCTTGAATATGTGTATGGATAGATGTACTGCAGGATAATCTTGAATATATTTATGGCTAGATGTACTGCAGATAATCCTGAATATTTGTATGACTAGGTTTACTGCAGGATAATCTTAAATATATGTATGGCTAGGTGTACTGCAGGATAATCTTTAATATATATATGGCAAGGTGTACTGCAGGATAATCATGAATAAATGTATGACTAGGTGTACTACAGGATAATCTTTAATATATATATGGCAAGGTGTACTGCAGGATAATCATGAATAAATGTATGGCTAGGTGTACTGCAGGATAATCTTTAATATATATATATAGCTAGATGTACTGCAGGATAATCATGAATATATGTATGACTAGGTGTACTGCAGGATAATCTTGAATATATGTATGACTTGATGTACTGCATGATAATCTTGAATATATGTATGACTAGGTGTACTGCAGGATAATCTTGAATATTTGTATGACTAGGTGTACTGCATGATAATCTTGAATATATGTATGACTAGGTGTACTGCAGGATAATCTTTAATATTTGTATGGACAGGTGTACTGCATGATAATCTTGAATATTTGTATGACTAGGTGTACTGCAAGATAATCTTGAATATTTGTATGACTTTATGTACTGCAGGATAATCTTGAATATTTATATGACTAGGTGTACTGCAAGATATTGATAAACTCTGTTGATATAACAGATGATATGCAGGAGAGTGTTGGAACCGGTTTATATCTCGCACTCAGGCAAATTTTTTATAAAATATGTTTGTTTTTCTCCAAACAAACTTTTTCCTCCTCCCCTCCATTTAAAAATACCCCAGTTTGTCATGTTATGTCGACTGAGTGTGTATCTGTTTTTTTTTTAATGGTTTTTGTTCTACAAGATAATTTCATACTCTTTTTGTCATTGATTATTACATGAACTAAGTTTTGATCAGGTATCGTCACAAGTACTAGCAATAAGCATGTTAGTCAGGGAACACAAATTTGACATGTTCCTCAGCCTAAACTAATAAAGACCAGTAATACGATGCAATTAGCTTCTTGAAGTGCATAGTGTAAACCCCCGTTTTGTTTTATATCTAAATTATTATGAAAAGTAAATTTCTGTTAAAGATTATATATTTATATAAAAAAACTGATTAGTGCTGTGGATCATTCTTGCAAACCTAATGTAAACGCAATCTTTAATGGCCGGACGGTAGAATTGAAAGCCCTTGAACCTATCCCAGCTCCTTGGTTCGATAACTGCAGAATATCCTACCTAGCTCCCGTCCTACCTAGAGACGAGAGAAGAAAGGTTCTCCAAGACCAGTATTACTTCAAGTGTGAGTGTTCCTACTGCTCCGCGGATACCCCTAGGATTGAACCTAGCCTTCTTTGTCCTAACTGTGATACCACCATTCTTCTTAGCTCTGAAACCTGTGATAAATGTAGAATAACTTTAACACTAGATAGAATAAAGGACTACTACTCATGGAGTGATCAAGCTCAGCAACTTCTCGCACAAAATGCGTCAGATTCGGAGATCTTTGAAGTTTTCCTCTCCGGTGCCAAACTCTGCGGAACTAATGACAGTGTGATGTTGAAAGTATCTGAGGAAACCTGGAAGCGTGCCTTGAACCTGGGAGATATGGATCTCTGCGTAGAAGGATTGAAACAGATGCTTCCACTGCAGAGACTGTACTATCCGGAGAACTCAATTCTACTCTGGAACAGTCTGGCTTTGCTCTCTAAGGCACTTTTTAGCTTGGAGAGGGTTGAGGAAGGAAGAACATATTTCGCAGAGGCACTCTCCATCCTTAAACTCTCATACGGAGAGGAACATAACCTCCACAAGTATATGCTCTCCTATGTTCTGTGAGTAGGGGAGCATATTGTACCTGAACTCAGAATTTCCTATTTTCAGATAATGATCTGATGAAAATGTCCGACCATGAACGAGGGGAGGATTCGGAAAGGCCTGAGCCGCCTCCTCGCGCTGGCAAGCGGAAAGGCTCGGAGTGGGAGATCCTCGGAAATCTGGAGAAAGGGGTTCACTACACCATAAAACCAAAGAGGTAAGTAAAATCATTATTATTTTTATCTTTTTTATTTTTAAACTAAATTAATCTCTAGATATGAAGGATATTTGTCTAAGCGAAGAAAATGGCCGTTGAAAGGTTGGCACAAAAGATATTTTATCATGGAGTTGGGAGTTCTAACTTACGGGAAAACCAAGACGGATATTACTCGAGGAAGAACTCTAGGTATATTTTTAGAACATGTTATTGTACTACAATTTAAAGGGACCGTCATTGTAATTTTATGTGACCCTCAATTACAACAGGGTCATGCCTGATTTACAACAATACCCTTTAAATCTTTGATCAATAATGTGGAAGATATCGTCGTTTTCTGTCTAGAAAGTTGTTTGAAAGAAAGTTATTTTCTCCATTGAATCCGTTGCAAGAATTATGCAAGTATCTTTTATGGAGAATCCATAATCGAAAAAACTGAATTTTAAAAGAGAAATAAATGATATCACAACTTTTCTTGATCTGATAAGACAAAGCTGTTAATGGTATCGTTATCAATGAGAAATGCCACTTTAGAAATAGAGGGTCATTGGAAAATAGTTTTATTCAATCTGTTATTCAGACTTTTTTTTTGGGGGGGGGGGGAATAGTTTATAAGAAAATTTTGAAAATCTCAGTGAATTTTGCTTGATCAAACGCTAATTAGTCATTTATCATGAGATCAACGTCAATAAAAAAAGTTAACTTAAATTAAATTAAATATTCAGGAAAGTTTAATATTGGCGAGGCTGTGATCTCTGCAAACTATGCTGATAAGAGGATTGATATTGATGCAGATGAGAGTGTGCATCATGTCAAGGCGGAGAACTTGGAGGAGTTCGGTCTGTTCTTGGAGCAACTTCAGCAGCATAGGCTTTATACGCAGAATATTTCAAACAATGGACAGGTATCTCAATAATTAAATGTCCAAATAAATGTTAAGAAAGAAAGAAAATTGTTAACTAGATCCCTAACGAAATAATATGAGTTCAAAGCTTACTTTAAAATAAATTTTTTAGGCGGCAATTCTCTCTCTAGAGGAGGGAAGTGCTTCTCCTATCGGTATTGGAACCTTACCTCGTGGGATTCGAACTGGGAGATCAAACCTTATCGGAGAATTCGCACAGTTAGACGAGAGTATTAACGCACACATGGAGCACATGAACAACCAACTGTCCTCTCTCCTCGACATGGTCAATAAACTGGAGGACACGGAGCACACCGGGCACAAGAAGAAACTGTTCCAACTGAGAAAGAAAAAGTCTACTGGAGTTTCTAGTTCTAATTGTAAAACAAGCAACACCTCGGAGCGGGATAGAGCTAGTCCAGTTCTATCAACTCTAGGTTCTCATGATATGGATATTGATCAACTGTCCGTGACACTCTCTGGAATGGCTCAATTATCCAGCTCCAACCCGAGCTTGAACACGCTGAGCAGTACAGGGCGTCCTGTCAGTTTACCACCTGATAGTACTCTTCACAGAGCTATGAAGGTTGGTTCGGCTCATGATGCTTCTACTAAGGAAGATATTCTTCAACTATCCAACGATATTCTTACAGATCTGAACAACATGACTACTAGATATAACAAGCAGAGAGATCACATCAAGATGCTTCTTGAGACAGAATCCAAGACGAGTAGTCTACAGCCCCAGGTTGGGCTTGTTGCCTCGCTCAGGCAATCCTTGAACACAACCTTACAGCAGAACACCCAGCTCAAGAATAAACTGGCCAGAATTCATGCAGAATCAGAGACAGGAGATATACCTACGCTTAATGCACCGTCAGATTCTACATTGACCAGAGGATTGAACGGTTCTCTCTCCTACTCGTCCTCTTGTATCTCGGAGTTCTTCGATGCTCGTGAGTATGCGGATAGTGGAGAGGAGACGGACGATGGATTATCAGATTCTGATATCAGCGACACTGCCGAGTCTGGTACCGAGGAGGATGACAACATGTTCATTGAAGCAACATCTACCGCTGTTATTCAAGAGGATTCTCAGGATAAAGCTGGAACCATGGCTCTGACAGGAAGAAGAAGAACTCTCCCTGTACCTAAAACCGAAACTGAAGGAGTTAACTTGTGGAATCTTCTTTGCAAGAATATTGGGAAAGATCTGTCTAAAATATCTATGCCTGTTACTCTAAACGAACCCTTGTCTACCCTACAGCGTTTATGTGAAGAGCTGGAGTATACTGAGCTACTGGAGAAGGCTGTAAAAGGAGAAACACCGCTAGAGAGGTTGCAGTGGGTGGTTGCTTTCTCTATCAGTTCTTATGGATCCTGTAATGCCAGAGCTAGTCATAAACCCTTTAATCCGTTGCTGGGGGAAACATTTGAATGTGTCCGGGATGATAAAGGATTCAGGTTTATATCTGAGCAGGTTTCACATCATCCTCCTATCTCAGCTGCTCATGCATCTGGAGCAGGATGGGAGTGGGCACAAAACCTAAGAATAAGATCTAAGTTCTGGGGTAAGTTTAATGATTTAATTGGGAAATAACAAATTTAATAATGATAACAATTTTTTAAATTATACTTTGATAGTCATAAAAAATCAGTTTACAAGATAAAATTCATTTTAGGAAAATCTATGGAATTTCAACCTGAAGGAAATGTATCCTTGAAGCTGATGAAGAACGGTAAAGAAGAAGTGTACACCTGGAACAAAGTTACCAGTTGTATCCACAACCTTTTAGGAGCAGAGCGATGGGTTGACCTTTACGGAGAATCCGTGATTAACTGCGAGGAAACCGGTTTGTCTGCTAGAATACAGTTTGTGAAAGCAAGCTACTGGTCGACTAAACGTCACGAACTCTTTGGAACCATCACGGACCCGAGCTCAAACATCCTGCAGAACCTGTTTGGGAAGTGGAGTGAGGCGTTGTATGTTGGAAAGGCTCCGTCTGCCAAGTGTATCTGGAGACCTGGATCTCTACCAGAGGATGCTCAGCTCTACTACGGGTTCTCCAGGTACAGATTTTAATCCATGTCAGAATTATTCTAATTCCAAAATTTCCCTGAGTCATATAATATATTCTTAGTGGCAATTAGCCAAATGTACAATTTCTCAAGTAACTCTCTTATTAATATTTGTCCTCCTAATCTTACTAATTCTAACTTATTAACATGTTGATAATTTTTCTTTTTGAGGGAAGATTTAACTTGGAAAATGCACAATATGGAGAAACCAGTTGGGATAAAATTACATTAAAAACATGCATATCGAAATCGCTCAAGGGAAAATGTTTTGTTGGAAAGGTATAGGTTCAGTAAGAAATGTATTCAGCAATAAATGAATTGCATAATCTCAGGTTTGCAATTGAGCTGAATGAGCTGATGCCCGCGGAGGCTCCCCTGCTCCCTCCTACGGACGTGAGGTGGAGACCGGATCAGAGAGCTCTAGAGGACGGAAAGATCGGAGAAGCGGAGAATATTAAACTAGGCGTGGAGCAGGCTCAGAGGGATCGAAGGAAGCAGAGGGAGACAGGGGAGGTAATGAAACAGATTAAACCTAGATTTAATTAAAAACCAGAAATGGTTAAACCATGTATGGCTAGTTAATTACTACTCTAGTCCGCTATCGGCCACATTAGAATGTCAGTTCAAGTTTCCGTTCATTTATTTAGTCTTTTATTATGAAGTGTTAGAATATTAATTTAATTTAACTGTGACAAACTCCTTTTACATAATTCCGTTCAATGAAATTATATATTTTTTAAGCTCGTGATCAATAAATCATTCAATACTTATATAATGGTCTGGGGTAAACTATATTCAGATTAAAACTTTACTGGCTTCATATATATATTTGATATCTTTATTGCATAGTCATAAATGGATCAAATGTTTTATTTTAAAAAGAAGTATTTTATTGTAAAAAAACAATATTATAATCTTCCTAATGTTTAGTTGAAAGGGTACTCTGCTCTGTGGTTTAACGAGGACCTGGAGAACATTGAGGCGGATCCAGATGATGAATCAAAACCTGATAAATGGTCCTTCAACCATACATACTGGAAGAAGAGAAACGAAGGCTTTCATGGTATTCAGTTTGAACCATTGTGGTGAGAAACTGGTCATGATATTTAGTTTAAACCACTGTCGTGAGAACCTCGTTATAATACCCGAGTATTTAGATTCAACGTTTAAACTCCAAGAATCATATGCGTAGCATTTTCTGTGACAAATAGCATAAAATTCTTTATTTTATATTCTTAGATAAGAAACTATACCTAGAGCCTAGAATCTAGGATAACTAGTGATTATTTTACAACATAACTCCTGCTCTTTTATATATATATTTTCGGCAGATATCGACCAAATCATTGTGAATATTGAACCGACCCCTGTAGCGCAACCAGGCAGGCATTGTGATTGAAATTATTGTACAATTAACGTTCCCGGTTTTTTTTTATGGTTTTACCAAAAGCAAGCTAATCTGTTTGAATTGGTACCTTGAAAAATGCAAATTTTTTATTTTATATATTTTAGTACATCTATGAGCTGCAATTTACATTTTTTATTAAACGATGAGAAGTAAATCAAGCAAGGATACAAATGTATAAAGCTCTATGCATTCAATACATAAACTTGACATTTCAATTTAGTAAAAATGAGATTTAACATTTCAAAATATTGTTTTCCCGGGAGTTTTTCAAATCTAATGCAGTACACTAAATCCAAATTTGTCTTTAGTACACTGTACATATTTACATTGCACTGTACATAGACGTATACAGTTGTACAACAAGATATGGTTTATCTCTTGTAAAAAAATCTACTTAAGGCAATATAATTGCTCTATGCTCAGCTTTTCCCCAGCCTTCAGCCTATGTCGTATGTAATGATATGAAAATCTAAAAAATTGAATGAATTATCGGAACCTGGCGCTTTATGAATATGATTCTCAATCCCAACAGAGATTAATTTTACCCAGTCGAATAATATTTGTGATTGAATATTTATTAGAATTTTATTTAATAAACGTGATAATTTTATTAAAAGTGAAACACATAATTGGATGAAAGTATAATGTTGTATATGTAAAGATTCCTATTGTTAATGATTCTCTGTTGGCATGGAAAGTGGCCTAGAGGGTACACAAACTAATTATCGAGGAGACTTTTAGAAAATATCGAGTATTTGTAAAAACGATTCCCCATTAGAATTACGTCTAACCACCAACCAACTCCACATACACAGCTCAAACTAACCCAAAAAGCTTGGAACTAACCTATTTTAAAAATACAATTTTAGTTCGAAAAACCCATAGATCAAATGAAACTTAAGTCAGATTCCTCTAGGTCGGGATGAGCTGATAGCGATATTTTTACCTTTAGTAAAAAGTTAAATCAATAATTTTCTTCGAAATTGATAACATGGTCTCACGCAGATTCCTGGAACTGGTGTTTTTTATTCTTTACTTCCGGATTTGTGCGTGAAGGCTAGGTTTTGACATTTAAGCTGTATTTGTTTAACTTGTTCATGTTTTTAAGCTGTATTTGTTTGACTTATTTATGTTTTTTCTTCCTATTTTTTTTAATCTATCCGACGTCTGGTTTATGTAAGATACATAACTTATTCCGCACAATTTCTCTAAAGCTTGAATATGTAGAGTTGAACTAACCGTACTTAGTTTAACAACTAGAGGGCGAAACTTTCGTGATGAATATCCGGCTAAACAACAGGTCCCATAAAACATGACAGTTCAGAGACGACTTGAATATCGTCTTTGATCATAGATATTTGATTAATTTTAATTTTAATTTTAATTTTGAAAGCACATTTTGAAATTCAAAGGCTAGGGCAATTTTGTGTTTATTGATTCAAGAATTCTACCTCTAAAATTGGTTTATGAGTGCGGCAAATTATTTTAAAGATCAAATATGACATTAAAGTCGTCTCTTAACTGTAATGTTTCGAGGGAAACCCTGTAGAATTCTTAGGCCCAGCCGGTTTCGTGCATCACTTCTTCCTCTGCGTATAATCAGCTAAGCCCAGGAATCAAAGGCTATTAGCCAGATATCCAACACAAGAGGTTTGCCCAAAGCCAATTGTTCTAATAATTTCATGTCAATGTTAAAATAATTTCCTGTTGAATATCTGGCGTAGCTAGTATTCCTGGGCTTAGCCGGTGTCGTGCATTTCTTCTTTCTCGTGGATACCAGCTAAGCCCAATCATAGGCATAGCCAGATATCCAACTCAAGAGTTAAAATAATGTCATGTTTCTCTTAACTTTCCGGGTTCAGTCTCTCCATACTATTTGTCTAATTTCAGTTCTCTTTTATCAGAGATTTATCACAACTACAAGATTCAGTAAATTGATAAGTGTCAAGGTTTTTGTTGTTTGGACAGAAAGATGTCCAGTTTCATTGCAAAGAAGTCTGTATGTAGATAAAATGAAATTTGACAGTGAGGTCGCAGAGGGAGTGGGTACAGAGCAACATGAATTCGCAAAATGAACTCCTAGCCAATGTTGTTGTTGTAGCTTCCTTGGCCTTGGTCAGAATCTTTGAGTTCCTCCACTCCAAGGAAATTAGAGGCTTCGATAGGGTGGGTCCATAGGCTGGTTGGATTTGCTTGACAATTAAGCAGGTGGTTTGTATCATGAGGTGTGGTTTGACATTTGGGACACTTTTTTTCAATTTTATCATCTAATCGGTTGAGGTAGAAGTTGAGGAGTCCTGAGAAGCTACTCCTGCCAATCAAAATCATCTCCGTGCCTTGCGTTACGTCTCCAAGTCTTCGCAACTTCAGCATTCTTATCTATAATAACAAATATTTCTCCAATAAAATAATATTTGGCTTTTACATCCATCAAAAACTTTTTATTGAAAAATCTAAACATGATGATAAAGTTTATGATGTTATAAAACAATATGTATGAAAACTCTACTTTAATAGAGATTAAGACTTCTATTGTTAATTTTCTAAATTTCACAAATTCCTAAACTTGTGAATAAAACGTTATTTTGCAAGAGGTGAATCCTATACAACCCTGAAAACAGCTTTCATTTCCGGATAAACGGGAACTGAAACTTTAGAACAAATCTATGCCAATATTCTTTCTTTTTATTTTCTTCTGTTTAAAAATTGGGAACGTAATTAAAATATCTTAATTCATGGGGCATCCCTTAGTTGCGCGCCTTGATAACTTAATGATTTTAAAACCATCTTTTTTACAATCGCTAATAAAATATAATTACATTTTAATTTACATTTTACAAATTTAATCTAAGCCTAACGAAAATGGCCTTTTATTAAGTTGTTTAATGCATTTTTGCAGGTAAAAACTATTACGCGTTTCGTCAGCAAACAGAAGGATCGGGCCCCTTATAATGCTTTCGAACATCGAGGTTCGGAAGCAATATGGGGATTCAAACAAAATCTACAAAGTTTTGGTTTTTCCAGCCCGAACTTTTATTGTCAAAAAGAAAAGAAATATTATGACGATGTGACTCATGTGACGGATACAATGGATGAAATAGCGTGCTTAAATAATCGAATTAGTCCTGTTTTAAGTAGAAATTGACGATTATAAATATAAGAACATCCCCGGAAGACTGTTTGGAGGATGATTGGAAGCCCTAGGGACGCACAATACTGCATATAGATAAAATGAGGTTCGGAAGCTGTGCGGGGGAGGTTGCCTTCCCTATCTTGTGATAGGGTGGGGCTTCCGACCCCAATTCCCCCACACTGAATACTAAAACGCGTTTATTGCATTGTACAACATGAACCATATATATTTTACTAATCCAGGGTAGGCTAAGCCCCCCCCCCCCGCCTGCCAGCTTCTTTAATATTTTACACCATTTAAAATCCATCATTGTTAATGTGAAATGGAAAAGTAATTTTTGAATCAATCAACGTTAGAAGAAATGCGCAAATTAACGAAGACGATTTTTAGTTGTTTTGTATTTTCCCGCGCATATTGTATCATTACTTCTTTCCGAATTGGACCAATCACAGCGAGTTTTCAAATTTTGGCCAATCAGTCGCATGGTTAGACAAAAAAGTGTCATGGCTCCAAAATTCAAAATAGGAACCGAATATATTTTACGTTTGTGGAATTTGACTGCAAAATAGGATTAAAATTAAGAAGTATTCATTATGCAACTGGATTTGTTACATTATTAAAACGTTTTTTTTAGTTTTTTGTTGTTTTTTTAATGTGATAAACAAATAACTTTTTCAGATAACCTATTATAGAAAAAGCTAACGTGAATTTGAGAAGGATGAGTGAGGAAGAGCTATCTTTGGTTCTTAAGTTTGACGAGCTAACGAGGAACTGTAATGTTCTTCAAACCTCAGATGATGAACAGTTCTTGAGGTTAATTTCTTGTCTTTAATTTATTTACTTTTTTCTTTAAAAGAAATGTTCTGTTTTGACAAGCAATAACGGGCGGGTTATTCTAACGATGTCTGTGTTGGGGAGTTCTGATCATATCTCAGATGATGAGAGTAATTCCTAATCTTTTGACATGCATCTCATATCCTTATATGTGTCACATGGAATAATTGGTCATGTGGCCACAGTACCCGGCCCCCTAATCTAGCGCTGCAAGGTACAACGGCCCTTTTCAGTGTGTATCTGTAAATAAGGGGGCGATTTTGGGTCCGTCTTAGAGAACGATTTTTTGACCCCCCCCCCCTCCTATCTATTTTGTACATGACCGCTTTTTCAACATTAAATTAGTATTTATTTAGGGTTAGGTTAGGTTACGACACTTTTTGGGCCGAGCGCTGCGGCCATGACATGCTAGGGGCCGAGTGCTGCGGCCACATGTCTCACATTTAAGATCCATGTAAAAAATTGATAGGACGGGGGGGGGATCCAAAAATCGTTCTCTAGGAAATTACAGCGATTTTTTCATTTTCAACAACTTTGGATTCAAGTCTTGTCCGTTCTTGTGTTTCCGTATATTTTCTTTTTTAAACATATATTCATTAGGTTTGTCCTAAACGCAGGCGTGAACCGGCGAAGATGGGAGAACGCGGAGCTCGAATGCCAGCGCCTTGGAATAGAACTCGCGAAAGCTTGTCAGGTTATTATGTAGTTGACAATGCAAATCTTTTTTATTGAGTAATAAAACACGAAAGCTCATTTAACACGATTTTGTAATCCTCAATTAGAATTACTTTAGGAGATAGGAGGGCTAGAGCACAAACTTTCTCATGCTCGAACTATGCTGGACAACGAGTTAAATTTGCGGAAGAAGGCTGAGTTAGAGAGGGATAGGTTGAGCTCCCAGCTCCTCCTTCTTCGCCAGCTCGTGATGGATGATCATCTTGTGGACGAGGTTAAGCTTAGTAAGATTAAGCATATGGGAACCATGGATTTCACAAACGATGCTTTCTCCTCTCCGTATCCTAATACGCCAAAAGGAATTCTTAAGAAGTGTCACATAGACGAGGATAGTGTTCGGGACGTGGACGATTTCAGTTTTGACGATACAAGAGATTTCCTTGACTCTTGCTCCAGGATTGATCTGAGAACAAGTACCAGGAAACGATCTCGGAGTCGGGGACATGATAATGCTGTTGGAAATATTCTGGAGAATATCGCTAGTCCTCGAAGCGAGAATTTCAACATCAGAAAGCGCACCCGTCGGTCCCGTAGTATGGCCGTTCTTGAAGATACACGTGAGCAACCTGTCATTGAGGAACCTGAACCTAGACCCAGAGCAAACAGTCTTTTTGACAAGAGTGAGGCTCCTAAAAGTTTTTCTAACTCTCCTGCGCCCTCCTCCGGACATATTCTCTCACATAAAACGATGATCAAGTCTGAGAAATGTATTGTGTGTGACAAGAGGATAAAGTTTGGAAAGATCGCCTACAAGTGCGGACCATGTCGCATCGTTTTTCACACAGAGTGCTCAGATCGTGTACCGATTTGCTCCAAAAGAGGATCGCCGGAGGTTTGTCGAACTCCGCGGACAGAGAGAAATAGATCTCCAACCAAGAAGCCGTATTTTGCATCTCCTATGCTTCGTTAATTCCGCAGCTAACTACTCAGTACCCAAACTTTTCAACCACCAAAGTTATTTATTTAGTAAACAATCACGTCTTTCTTAATCTTTATTTATACATATGTCGTGTTGTATCTAAATCACTAGTTCAGAATCGCCGTAAATTTTAATTTTTAAATATTTGTATAGATAACAAAATGTCTGACAAGTCGTTGAACGAATTGAAGGTTGAGGATATGGAGAAACTAGTTGTGGTGAGTACTGATCATATAGAAACTAAATGTCTTGGAAAGTGTCGAATTCCTTCATTGTCGTTGCTGCATAATCCCAAAGTTACTTTTACAGAGAAACCACAATTGAGATTAGTCAATGTTCAGCCAGAAAACTACGATATCCCATTCATTCTTGATCAGACAAAGGGAACCGTTTTAAATCCAATAAGTTACTGTGAAAAGGGGGTCACATAACCCCTTCAAGATGTAGCAATATTTACGGAGAATGGTTAAGTTGTATTTATTTTTAGAGTGAGCAGAAAACTCCTGGAGGTTTGAAGTTGGAAATTGTTCTATCCCCTGCTCTCAAACCAAGTCCTAAGTAAGAATTTATCAAAAGATTATTATTCAATAAATTTATTCTTACGGAGCGTAAACTGTATATCGTATATCGTACAAATTCCTGTATTGCAAATGCACATGCAAAATTTTGTTCTATACAAATCCGGTTGACGCTATTAAGATTTTAAAAGTTTTTCAATATTGACCTCTTTAAATGCTCTTGCACATCCAAATCCATTTTTAACTGTTCTTGTATATTCAATGTTCTTTAGTAATTGATCTTATAACATTGTATAGTTCGATCTATTCCCTAGACCTGCATCCGTTCCGTCCTCACCTGCCACCCAGAAGGAGATAGAGGAGAAGCTGGCAGCAGCTAGTGGTAGGAGGGAGATGCTGGACAAACTCAGAGCAAAGAATATATCTGTACAGCTCGCCAAGGTTAATTTTTTTACATCTCAATACCTCAAGGGTGCTAACTGGTCGGGTATCTAATTTATGTATGAAAACTTGGAACACACATAGTACTGTTAGTAATGATCAATAGGGAGCTAATCAGTTCTTTATTACATCAAAACTAATTCACAATTCTTTTTTACTTGGGTGGATAAATTTATTAATTTTTTCATTAAAAAAAAACTTTATTCAGGTCGAAACCGCAAAGATAAAGAAGGAGGAATTAAACACTGAAAAATCTCAAAAATCCAAAGAGGTAAGTTTTGTTATGTTTTCAGAGATATAAATACATACTTCAACCCCTGAATCCTTCTCAATAAATCCGACCCTGTGCTAATTTTGATACAAATTCTAACCCTGATTTATTGAAGATTCTGGAGACTAAACTGGAGAACCAGGAGAAGAACCGTCAAGCGGAGATGATAAAGAACAAGGAGAAGCTCGCAGATAAGCTGGCTAGGGTTGAACGACTACAGAAGGATCTTGAAATACAAACAGAAGCTGCTAGAGTGTCTGCTGAATGCGCTCTTAAAGCTAAACTTGCCAAGGTATGAGAACTCCTTTTTTTTTCAAATCTTTATAAGATATATACGTAAGTGTGTCTACTGTCTAGGCTCAAGAGAAGAGAGATGAACAGCTGGAGGAACTTGTCAATAAAATGAAAGAACACGAGGAATATGTTGCTGAAGTAAATATAGTTTTTCATTCTAATATTTTTCTTGTAATTTTTCAAGAACAGTCTAAACTTGCATCGTTTTTATACTTGTAATTGGTGTTTTACTGTTTCGTCCATTCTTTAGCGGACTAGAATTAACTTTCCTATTTCTATCTGTCCTAACTTAATTTCTTCACATTTGTCTGCCCAGTGCCCAATCCGTCCTATCTCTACTTTAATTTTGTTCCGTCCCCCTAACTCCTTTTAATTATGTCCGTAATTCTAACTATTCTATTGATTTCCCTCCTCTCTTCCTACTTAATCCAAATCATGGCCTATTGTTAATCCCTCATTCTAGCTATTTTATACATTTTCTTCCTTCTCTTTTCCTACTTTATTCAAATCATGACCTTTAATTGCCATTTTACCACATATAATAAAACAAGACATTCGTATATATAATTCAGCCCAATCGCTCGAGCTGTTTGGCCAGCTGTACGCAACATTATATATATATATATGGACACTCATGGGGGGTGATATTGGCTTTTTAAAAAATTTTACACTGGCAACGCCGGGCCCTTCAGCTAGTTTTACATAAAATTAAGTCTTGGAACTATTTTAAATTATTCTAGAGTAAGTTTCAAAATTTTGCTCATGGTTTACACTAATTCTAATCTCCAGGTTCGATACAGTCACGACAAGCTGTTCCAGGACCAGGAGAACAAGGTTGGAACAACCCTCAACCTCAAGCTAGAGAAGGCAGCTAAGGTTAAGCTTATTTTATAAATCTTAACATTGTAATTTTAGTCTTGAAATTGGTAGAAATTTGTTAGTTACGATATTCAAAAACAAAAAAAATCGTTTATTTTGTTCAATAGTGGTCCGGGATTATGAACATTTTAAAAGAAATCGTATCTTTTAAAATAAATAAAAATGCTTTTTTTAATATTCCTGGTTGATTTTTCATATGATGTTTACCCCAGGAACGCGAAAGAAAAGAGCAGGAGTTGAAAGCTAAGCTTGAGGAGAGGAACAAGAAAGCTGAGATGGTTCGGCAGAACAAGGAGAAACTCCAGCTAGACCTGGGACCAGAGTCAGCTTAAACTTCACCTAACCTTTCAGTATTAATTTGTGATGTCCCGGAAATTGTCATCTGCAGCTTTAACTTTATATTTACACACATTCTTGTAACAGGGTCAGAAATCCGAGTGAAACTAAAGTATTTTACATATATATTTTTAATCGTTGAACATGGTACGGTTTTATTCAAACTGTGAATATATTTTAGACAAATGATTGGTTAGAATGGAATCAGGAGAGGAGATATCGGGACCCTGGCGGGCTACTAAACTATGGAACACCATTATAAGGTAGATCTTTATCATCCCTGACCTAAATTTCATACTGCCGGCAGATGGGAAAATAATGAGAGGTGGGAATGAAATAAATACCTTATGTATTGGGGGATAGGGATTGGGAATGGTTTTTAATTTATTGTTTAAATTTGTCTATGCAGTCATGTTTTCCATAACCCTTTAAAATAAAAAGATGCAATGTTTAGTAAAAATTATTTCTTTGATTTTGACCCATGCCCTTAGTAATTACTTACACTCATGATATTTGATAATTAGGAATTTCCGGAGTGGAATGCCGTTGAAGAAACACAAGAAGAACATGAGAACCTACGAGAACTGTTTCAGTTCTACGGATGCTGTAGACTGGTTGCAGAAAAGTCTGCAGAAGAATCCAAACTTCGGAGCTGAGGTGACCAAGGAGCAAACCGTCCTTCTCCTTCAGAAACTCTACAGGGCCGGGATCATTGAAAACGTGAGAGAGGATTCTAATGATGAAGAATTCAAGGTAAACATTTTTTATTTCAAATCCAGATTTTCAATTTTGTCATTGGCCAGGGAACATAAAATGATTAAAATAAATCGACAATTTTATTTACCGTTCAGGTGTCCGGAGAATTGTATAGATTTAGTAATAAAAGTCCAGTGAGAAACCTGCGAACTCCAGGGAAGATGGATCGGAAACCTCTCTCCGATACCGGAAATACTCCGCATGCTCCCCGGAGTAAGGAGCGGGATGAAGAGAATGTAGCCGAGAAACCAGAACGAGAGAAAAGCTCGAGTAGGAAGATAAAAGAAGAAATGAAAAAACAGTTAAATTTGTCTTATTTCCAGGTAATTATTTAATTATTTCTAGCATAAAGCTAAAACTTTTAAGTTTTAATTTTCTATTCTTTTAACCTAAAAAATATCTTCGATCCGTTCTCATCTCTTTGAACAAAATATTTAACTTGTTAATTAATCTCTGTTTTAGGCTTTGCCCTCGAATTCGTTAATAATCCTTGACAACGATGACACCTGGCGACGTGTTTACATGGATCAGCTGACAAGAGCTCTAAGTAAACAGCACACTGAGAGGCTAGACTACGCCGGTCAGATGGATATTGAAACTGTAATGCATAATATGACTCGTGTCTCTGCTAAGGGGATAGTTCAGGTTGAAGAGAAGAGTGAAGATCTCCCGCACTGGGTTCTCTCCGCTATGAAATGTTTAGCGAACTGGCCGAAACAATTAAGAACAGTGAACGGTAAGGAGAGTTGCCTACCCAACTACACTGGATTCGAACATGATGTTTTCAACGTTGTCAAAGATTATTTCCTTGGATTACCTGGTCCTCTCTCCACATTCCCTCTCTACGATTTCTTTATAGACGCGTATTTGAAAGCTGAGAGGGATAATAGCACACCCGTCCTTCCAACCCCTTATCCGATTAATCCTGACAAGTCCTGCGGGGTTCATCCTGGCTCCGTGACTAGAGCATGTACTCGACCGTTCACACAAACCAACCTAGATAATGAATTCTTTACAATGTCGGATCAATCTGAGGAGTTTTCTGCTCTCTCGCACACTGAAAGAGTAGCAAAAATTCGCCACACCTTTCAGGTTCTCCCTCCTCTTGCAACCAGTAGTTTACAATCCAGTAATAATACAAACTCTACTCTTAGTGGACATTCAACCTTTGATACAATTTCACCCAGCTCTCTCTCCCCTGACATGTCCACAACTGCAATCATGAAACAGTTCCTTCCTCCGAACACATGCTTCGAGACTGCCTTCGTGGAGGAGTCTCCCATCACCAGGATAGTTCCTCAGAGAGAACACGAGGTTCTTCATATCCGTAGAACCTGGTCGGGACGTTCTCTTTCTCATATATCCACGGACTGGAGCACCAAATCAACCTCAACCCAGACTGATGCTGCAGAGCAGGATAAACTAGAATCTATGGAGCAGGTATCCAGTAGTAGTCTTAAGAGAATACCTAAATGGAAGAGAACAAGCCGGTTTAGGAAATCTATTGCCGTCATGGAATCCCAGGATAGACGGAAACCTTCTCAGCAACCTGGAGATGCGGACGGTCGAGGGTTTGTTAATGGAGGGTTTGCGGACACTCCGGATAGCCGCATCTCCAGACCATCCGGTATTCCAGGACGGACCAGACAGTTAAACTCAACCAGTGGGTTTCCCTCTCAACCCATCAGTAAAACTCCCATCAGGGGATACTCCAGTGTAGATAACTTGCTTGACAGAGAAACCAAATTTGAAGAGGATTTTATGTTTAAGTACAGACAGGTTTCAGGAGATCTGAGATCTTCATGTGATCAGCTGGAGATTGCCAGAGAACGAGCCGAGGAGATTCGAGATAAAAGTTTAATTGAATCTAAAGCTTTAAGAAAGGAAAAAAAGAAGAGAAGATGGAGGAACGCTAGTACAGACCGTCTAGGATATGATACGGATACAGATGTGAGATATGAAAACTATGAGAACTATCCTAGAGTAAGTGGATCCTCCCGACATTGTTATATAAATCAAGGTTTGGAACTAAGTCCTATTCCTAACTATCTCTCAGCACCGCTTGCTTCTGAAGAAATCAGTGACCTGAGTCCAGTTTCCTTTAACCGGCACGGGAAGTATAATACAAGCTACCGGCTGGCAAACAACCAACCTGAAACTCCTAAGGGAAGTTTTCCTCGCACAAGTACTCAGATAAATCTACAGCCTCCTCTCAACAACAACCAGCAGAACCCTAAACCTCGGAGTGTTGTTGAACCGGAGAATTGTATCTATGTGCGTGCCGAACCTTACAACTGTTTAAACTCCGATGTAACTAACTCTGTTGCATCGGAGAAACATGGACGAGAAACTATTTACACAAGAGTTGGTCCTGGACCGATACAACGTTACTTAGTGCATGATTCAACCCATCCCTACACCTCAACCATGCGTCCTTCTCAGTACCCAAACCGTTCTCAGCGTCCACAATCATCTCAACATTCACTCCGTCCTGAGACCTTCAGACGGGATACAGGAGCTCGTGCCTCCAGGTGTAGTCAGGCTACTATTGACAGTGGACGATATTCAGACCTGAGTAGATCATCCAACCCAATACGTCTTGTTCATCTTCCTCAATCCAGCTCCGGAGCAGACCTTAACTATGCTAGGTTCTCTAAACAAGTTCCTCACAATGTTCTTGTAGAGAAGCTACAAGTTCTTACTAGCAATCCTGGAAAGGTTGAGGAGATGGCAATTGATATTTTTAAACTACTGACTCTCCTACTCCCACCTTCTAATAGAAGAAAGTTGCAACTTTTGCTAAAATTCATCAAAAAGGTAAATATTTAAACATTATCTAGAGCCTTAGTAATTTATTTTTGATAATTAATGCATAATTACTCAATGCACACAAAATTTAAATTCAACTGAATCACATGGTTTCATTTAGGGATTTTGTGAGAGGTCTAAGAAAAATTTGGCAGATTTTAAGGACTGGCATATTTCTATGTGGCCGATTTTTTTTACGTCGTTGAGGGGAAATTTTTGGGTTTAGTTTTGGGTTTAGTTTTGGGTTTAGTTTTGGGTTTAGTTTTGGATTTAGCTTTGGATTTAGTTTTGGGTTTAGTTACAATGTTTACTCGGCTTAATGAACCCCTGAATCGATTTACACACATTTTTACTTGTTGATTACTCTGAATATTATATTAGGTTGCTCTTAACTCAGACCTAAGGCTCGATCAGAAAATATCCAACAGAGAACTATCTGTTCTCACCTTTACAGAGGTTATTCTCCGACCTGGAGATATCTACGCTACTAACCAGGAGATTAACAGGAAAATTGTTAATCTTTTCCTCGACAAATATGATGAGGTAAGAAAATTATGTATTTAAATAAAATCTAATTTATTTTCTGGCCTAGTCGGAGTTCAGTAAAGAAAACTAAGGAGGGTGTAGAAGGATAGATCAGGAACAAATGACAAAGATATTTAAGAAAACTCGGAATTCCTAGGCAATCATTATTTTTATACGTTGCAGTGCTATATAAACTGTAGATAACCACCATTGGCTTCTCTGTAGTTGGATCATTCTTTGGCTTAATTCAAACTCAAAAGTTCGCTGCCTTCTATAACAGATCGATAATAAATATATCAATATCAAAGTCTGACTTCGTACTTCAAAAGGTCTTATGGAAATTTTCTCTCAAAATTGTCATCGGACAAAAATTAATATCAGGCTTTGTCTGATGTTTTTTACTTGATGATCAAATTTAGATCTGGAGTCCGCCACAGAGTTTAAGACGTGAAGTTGAGGAGAAGGTTTATCAGAGTTTAGTAAACCGTAGAATACAAGCTGGAGAAGATCCTTATCCTGTAACCTACTGTAGACAGGTAATTAGTTTTCATCATCTCAGGAAGGTTGTACGATCTACACTCTACAGCTGTTTGATTTGGTTTGTTGAGTTTGTCTTAGAGAGGGGCGCATTGATTTCTTGATAGTTTACCATTACTAATTAAAACAAAAGTTATTTTTATGAAATATTTCTATTCTAATAAAAGTCTAATTTGAACCATTCTCTAAAAGAGGCACTATTTTTATATTCAAATCCCTTAAAACGGGTTTGCACTATTATTTATCACCAAGTTGATTTCAGATAAACAGATTTAAGAAGGATTTATAGTCAATGTCTGAAAGGATTCTCTTCACCTCAGTTGTCTAAGTAGCTTTACAGATTTCACCTCGCATAGCTTTATAAGTTGTATTAAAGGTTAATTTTAAGGTTACAAAAAGTGAGTATGAGAGCTCTAAACTGAGCGGAGCTGAAGCTGGTCTTATGGATCTCCTTCAAGTTATACTGACAGACACTAAGATGTCGGACAAAGAGAAATCAAAGAAAATGAAGAAATTTAAAGAATCTTATCCTCAACTCTGGAGGTATAGTAGAGTTTTAACAAATCCATTCCTCATCTTCTTTAGAGTTTTCTTCTTTTAAGTAGTATGAACATTGTACATGGTAGATTTATGCTGAGAGATTCAATATTTGTTTCAAGCTCACATTGTATACAAAACTTGATGAATAATTCAAAAGTAACCCTCAACAATAAATTTACGAAGAAGTTTGTGAGAACAATCTCATCCTTTGCTACAGTGTTTCGGATCCATATCATTTTGATTCGGATCCGCGGATCCGCATCCGTGATGATGGATCCGGATCCGGTTATAATTTATAAACTATAGTAATCCTAAAGTTAAAAATGTCGTCATTACTATTATATAAATGTAAACATTAAATTATTAAAGATAATTTTGAAAAATTTTCGTCATGTAAATAATACATTTACGAACCATTTTGATTTATTTATTCCATGGTTTTGGTTAATTTTTGGCGCTACCCGGATCCATATCAACGTTTCCTGATACGGATCCGGATCCGACCAAATGATACGGATCCGACCGGATCCGGATCCGAAACACTGCTTTGCTAAATTGCATATATTTGATTTTTGGTGTGGTTAAAATTCAGATTTCAAAAGTTTTGTGGTTCTTGGTACATGTACTTTCTGCAAAACAAATATCTTTAGTCCAGATCTTGAGCTAAACCCATAAAACCTGTTTTTATTTAAGGCGCAAGTTTCCTACGGAGAGCAGTGAACCTGAACTAGTTTCCAGGAAGGAGAAGATTGGCAAGTTTAGTTCTCTCTCTAGGATCAAGAACGTGATGAGAATATAAGGAGAAAATAAGAACTTTATTCCTTTCTTATATTCCTTTTGCTCGGGCTTCCAGATATGCATAATGATTTTAGTCTCGCTTTTATTTTAATATATTTGTTGTTGGACAATTCGGTCCTTGATTCCGTTTTATCAAGTTAGTAATGAATCTAAAACATGATTAGAAAATATCATTTTAATGAACCTAATCCAGAAATTTACTTATATCAAACCGACCTTATGAAAGTGCCACATATTGATTTAATGTTATTATATAGTTATGTAGACCATTTATGAATTATGTATTAAATATTGTTTAAATATTCAGTTTTCCTACAATTCTTCTAAACCTGATCTTTCAGAGAACATCATGGGTCCAAAAAGGAAACCGAAGGAGATTCCAAAACCTGTTGCTGCAACTAGAGCGAGCAGAGGAGCTAAACCGGAGAAACCTGAACCGAAACAGAAAACTAGGAAAGAAAAGGAAACTATCCAGAAACCTGAACTGAGTGTATTAAAAGGACAGAAGAAAATCCAGAAACCTGAACCTACTACAAAGCAAGTCAACGAAACTGTTGAAAGACACGAACCTAAAAAGATCACAAAAAAAGTGAAGAAAACTACTGAGAACCCTGAACCTGTACAGATAACATTAAATGGATCCGAGGCACCCCTGAAACAGATCAAGCCCCGCAGATCTTTATCTAAAAATGTACCCGTAAATGAACCTGAGATGAATAAACCCATCTCCGAGATACAAGCTGCACTAGAAACTAAGACTCGAGGAAAGCCCGGAAGGAAGAAGAAAGTTGTTGACGTTCCTATGAAGGGGAAGGATGAATGTGTTGGGATGAACCTGGATGATAAAACTAATGACTCTGAAAGTATAGACGATGAACCTATTACTGAAGTTAAAGTTGGAGCCCGGAGGAAAAGAGGAATGATTAAACCTACTGGAGAAGAATCTCCAACTAAAAAGTTTGCGCAGGTAATTAGTAGATAAAAAAATAGGGTTCAATCATGAAAACTGTTTGTTGAATATGTTCTCGGTTTCTTATCTCTTTATTGTAGAAACGCAATTTTGGGTTTACTGCTTGCTTGGAGAAACCTAGTTCCTGTTCTCAAACATCTAAACCTGACAGTGCACTAGCTGTTAAACCTGTATTCTCAACACTATCTACACAACTGGAGAAACTGAAATCTAATCCTAGAATTGAAACCAAAAAATCTTTGTGTAGCAAGGATATATTAAATCTTCTAGAGGATCTGGATCCAGGTAAACGTAAACTTTCAATTTCATATTTTCAAAAAGGTCCAATATTATTTTCTGGTTTACATATTTGTATCATAGTTGTATTTAAGAAACCGAGAACGTTGTAAAACCATCAGTCCCTGTTGCTGGAGCTGGCAGAAAAAGGAAGAGTTTGCTCCAGGTGGAGAAACCACCCGAACCTGATCCAGGTCCTGAACACATACCTGAGCTCGAAACAAGGTAATTCGATTTCCAACTCCTTAAATCAAAATTCTTATTTTGATCTCAAATTTTATACTTGTCTCAAACTAAGATTAACGGAAGAAATTTGTCCAGCACATTTTTTAAAATTTGTTTCTTGATCTCTTCCATATTCAATATCCATTAAACTTGGATAAAACAGTATTGATTTATTCCAATTAAGATCTTAATCCTTGATAAATCCAGGAAGAAGCGGATTGCGTATGCTCGATCTAAGAAAGCAGAGTTAGATCCCAAACCTAGACGAGGTACTGCAAAGAGTAAATTAGACCAGAGTACTAAGAACAACACGATCAGATCTTCTCCGCGTAAATCGATTCTTTCCAACTCTAAGGAGATGTCCTTTAATCAAACATCGAGCCAGGTATTAACAAATTAATCGGGATATAACTATTTAAAATTTTTATTTACAAATCTATTCAAAATGTACAATTCTTAAATTTTCTGTTTCGTTACTATGAATGAACATATAAAATTATGCTTTGAACCAAAGTGTTGTGGTTTATATTTTTATGGCTAAATGATGGAGGAATATTTTTAAGTGTTCTTATTTTCAGGGAAACACGAGTTTATCAACACGGGTTCCGATCTGGAAGAAGTCGGTCAACTTAAGCCAGGTAAAATCGGTATTTCAGGGAACACGTGTTTTCTGCTTTTTTATATTTTCCCCTATTCAGCTTATTTAGTATTTTTTAAATTCTTAATACATGATAAGCATCTATACTTCATGCAAAGCAGGAAAAAATTAGATCCTGAGAATACTAGTTTTATAAACGTTATTTCCTAGATGGAGGATGTTGGCAAAAAGGACGTTTTTGATCCTAATTGTTACGGAGAAGAGGAGTTTGGACCAGAGGATGACGGAGCAGTTAAGAAGAAGACGAGAAGGAAGAAAAAGAAGGACAATAAGGGAATCCTTGTGTTTGGAAACCAAGGATCTAAGAAAGATATTGAGAAGGTTGTCAAGGAAACTCATCACTTAAAAACCCCTGTCGCAAAAAGAAAGCCCGCTAAAAATATTCCGAAGATTGTATTGTCAGAATTCTGCCCTCCCCCGGCTCCCACCCAGCAACGACCTCCACCTAGGACTGAGCAGAGCGGTCTAGGATATTCCAGTGATTTTTCAATGGGAGCACACAACTTTTTCGACTCAGGTAAATTTAACGGCAAATATTAAAATTGTTCTGAGTACTAAAGCTCTGGTCTAGGATTTATTAAACTACTTTTCAGCTGATCAGATACCTCAGATTGAGATGAGTATTCAGAACTACAGCAGTGTTCAGTATTCTAGTAGTCTGAAGGTTCCTACCCGGAGTAAACCTAAGATACAGAGTGCTGAACCCGAACCTGTACCCTCTACATCCTCTGTACAACATGATCCAGTGACCTACAAAACCCCGTCAGTTCCGAAAACATTTTCCAAACTACTGAGAAATGATAAATCCTCCACACCTAAACTTGAACCTGCCAAACCTAAGGAACCTGAGTCCATTAAAGAACAGATACAGAATGCTTTTGGATTTGATGACACAGGTATTTATACAAATTTCAATCTTTTGCTACACCCAATAAGGTAAATGTATCTAAAATAAACTGTGCAAAGGATTTTTTCTCTGTATTATTTATTTATTTATTTCATATGTTACATAACAAGAGCTTGTTTAATGAATGTAGACAATGCGGTGTGAGTATGATGTACATTTGTCCGAATTTAATGAAATTAAGCCGCGTCTCAAATCTCCCAAAAACCGGTTTGAATTGAGCGCCGGCTTAAATCTTGAAAAATTTAATTGGAGTCAACAAATTTAAACTTCGGCTCAAATTCTTTAAATTCGGTCTCGAGTTCTCTTCTTGCTACTCCTATTTGTGAAAAACATGCAATTTTATGTAAAATGGTGCTGATCGTTTTTTATTTTATTTTTTACTCCTTTACTTCAAATCTTGCTGTATTTTGTTCAAGTTTGCTGTTATTAAACTTAACTATATTTTTATTTTAAAACTTAAATGAAAAAACTATCTAGAAAATTATATTCTTCTTTTTTTATCTTGCACTTTTCTTTGTGTCAAACTTTTGCTTAGAATAAACAATTTTGGAATTTGTAAAACAAGAGATTTTTGTGGAACTTTTTCAAATTCCAAAAACCCGCCAAAACGAACCTAAGGAATTAACGCTGATGATTATTTTGTTAAGATGACGATGAGTTGAGCGGAAGTGAGAGTATGTCCCTGTCTCCGGTTAAGAATATGTCCGGGATCGGAGGAAAAACAGTTATGGATGTTTCAAGGTAAAGAAAATATTTTAATCGGTATAATTAGAAGACCATGTGTGATCTAAGATTAACGGAAGCCAAAGTTTGTTTTAGTTTTTGTATTTCTGGTTGAGATAAATACCAAAATTAAACAGCTTGGTTAAATAGAAAATTTTGATGATAACATTGTTCTATATGTTCAGGGTATCTGCACTGCACAGTTTCCGTGAAGCAAGTAAACCAGCTGAGAAGGCTAAAATTGGGATGTACAGGTTAGTTAACAGAATATTTGAAATTAGTAATGTTTTGATTTCTCTTTCGGTGTTGTTTATTTTTTGAATCAGGCTGAAAAACAAAATTTGATTTGATTTGTAACTGACTTACATAAAAATACTTAATAATTGTTCAGGTTTAATGGTGTCCCAACCCAGACTGGAATAATGAGACAGGTTGCAGCGATACTAAAGAATAAAGTGGATGAAAGTATCTCAAACCAGATCAGGAAACACGAGAAAGGAAGATCAAGTCCCAGGAAGAAGAAACCAATCAAACCTAGTCAACCCAACCCCAGTCAGCCGAGACTTGAACCTGAACCTGAGAAGGATATTGGATCCAGCACCTTGTTTATAGAAGATCCTAAACCTGAAGACAGGGTTGATCTAAACATTATCAATCCAACCATTAACCAGGACGAAAACTCTACTCAGGACCTGGAAAAGGAATCTCACAGTCCCAAGAAAGTTTTAGCTCCCCGGAATGCTTTTGAGGTTTTAAAGTCTGGAAAGGGCCAGCGTAAGCCAGCAGCTAAAACTAAGATTAAAAAGTTGACGAAGAAGGTCTCTAAGAACCCTAAACTAGAACAATCCTCAATCCTTGAATCAATGTCTTCAAGTATTGCAAGTAAAATTAACGGAAAGGATCTACCTAGGAAAAGAGTAAGTTCAAGTTTAATTACAATCTTGGGAACCTAATAATTTACTTAAACTTGGTTCTAGATTTCACTTAAAGGGCAACATTTTCTTGGTGATTTTAATGGAAAAAAAGAGGAACTTTTCAGTTTTACTAAAATCTAGATTCTCTATAAAATATATACTTTGTTAAAACTAGTAATACTAAAGTATTTTATTGGCACCCGCTTAATATTATTAAGATAACATGTTGCTTCATGAAACCCTCACGCTTTGTACGAAGTACATCTTAATGTATTTTTTTCTGTAGGTTCAAACCAAGAAGAAGAATCTTGCTGTGAGTCCGGAGAGAAAGAATTCGTCTGACAAGGAGAACATCGGGAAGGTATTTGAAACAAGTGTTCTCTCTGTATCCAGAACCTACAGGAAAACAACTTGATCAAATACGACGACACTAAAATAAAAAGTTTTTGTAATTTTAAAAAAAATTATCCAGGTTTACGTGAATTAAGATTAAAATGATTTTAAAAACTGATTGATTTTCCGACATGTACATATTATACATATTCTAGTTTAGTATTTACAAGAAATAAAGTTGTTTGTGCCTCAGGCCCAAGAAAGATAAACCCAGTGTATCCTTTGACCAATCCATCCCATCCTCACCTAAACAGAAGAAACATACTCAAAAGGTAGAAAGGAACTGATAAATCGATTCATTAGCTGATTTTATAATGATTAAATCTTTGCAACCTCGTGTCATAGACCTGAGACTTCTGCTTGATCTAGTACTTAAAGAAGTTGGAGAAATAAAATCAGTTCTTTAAGTTTAGATTATCCTTGTAATGGTAATAACTGTACTGTATAATGTATATACTTAACAATAAAATATATATTTTAGGAGAAGAAATTAGATCAATGGGCGGCTCTGCAGACATCACACTTCTCAGAAGTTGAAGAGTTCGATCTTTCATTTGCCTAAGCGCAGTCTAAATCCTCCATATTCAACCTTAATCTTTCATATGCAACCTCAATCCTCCATATTCAACCTCAATCCTCCATATTCAACCTCAATCTTCCATATGAAACCTCAATCCTCCATATTCAACCTCAATCCTCCATATTCAACCTTAATCCTCCGCATTCGATCTCAATCCTCCAAATTCAACCTTAATCCTCATAATTTAACCTCCATCCTCAACATTTTACCTCCATCCTCAACATTTAACATCAATCCCCAACATTTAACCTCAATCCTCAACATATAACCTCAATCCTCAACATTTAACCTCAATCCTCTACATTTAACCTCAATCCTTAACATTTAACCTCAATCCTCAACATTTAACCTCAATTTAACATTTAACCTTAATTCTCAACATTTAACCTCAATCCTCAACATTTAACCTCAATCCTCAACATTTAACTACAATCCTCAACATTTAACTTCAATCAACATTTAACCACAATCCTCAACATTTAACCTCAATTCTCAACATATAACCACAACTTAACATATAACCACAATCCTTAACATATAACCACAATCCTTAACATATTACCAAAATCCTCAACATATAACCACAATCCTTAACATTTAACCTCAATCCTTAACATTTAACCTGAATCCTCAACATTTAACCTAAATCCTCAACATTTAACCTCAATTTTCAACATTTAACCTTAATTCTCAACATTTAACCTCAATCCTCAACATTTAACCTCAATTCTCAACATTTAACCTTAATTCTCAACATTTAACCTCAATCCTCAACATTTAACCTCAATCCTCAACATTTAACCTCAAGCATTTAACCTCAATCCTCAACATTTAACCTCAATCTTCAACATTTAACCACAATCCTCAACATTTAACCTCAATTGTCAACATATAACCACAATCCTTAACATATAACCACAATCCTTAACATTTAACCTCAACCCTTAACATTTAACCTCAATCCTCAACATTTAATCTCAATCCTTAACATTTAACCTCAATCCTCAACATTTAACCTCAATCCTCAACATTTAACCTCAATCCTCTACATTTAACCTCAATCCTCAACATTTAACCTCAATTATTTAACCTCAATCCTCAACATTTAACCTCAATCATTTAACCTCAATCCTCAACATTTAACCTAAATTCTCAACATTTAACCTCAATTCTCAACATTTAACCTCAATTCTCAACATTTAACTTCAATCCTCAACATTTAACCTCAATTCTCAACATTTAACCTCAATTCTCCTCATCCAATATTGACTAAATATTTATTACTAAAGTAAACCTGTGTCTTCTGGATTTAACCCTGAATTCCAAACATCCTAAACTTATCAAGTGCCCCCCTTAAGATTACACTGACCGAACTAAACCTGGAGATTGATTGACAAATATCTAACAAGAGGTTTTATTAAGCATGCGTCCACTGAGGAACTTAAATATGGCCACGGTTCATCATATAATAATTTAAAAATATCGAACTGAACCTATATATTTGGAACATCTTGAAAATTTTTGTATATGTAAATTTATTTTGATTTTCGATTTTTCTTTGATAATTTATTTTTGCCTTTGTTTATTTTTAAAAGAACTGTTACCACTTGACATTGTATATCAACGATCGCATTTTATGTTAAAACTTGTACAATTGTAAGTCGTCTTTACAGAAAATATATATTAGTTTTAAAACCATTGAATTCATTTAGTCTATTGCACCTTTTTGCACCATGAAACTTTATGATTTTGCATTAAGAATCGTTGAGTAAACAAACTAAAATTTTTGTCTCTTGATTAGAGTTACAAAAAGTTTAGTTTACAGGATTACCTTCGACGGTAGCATGGTCACCGGAGAAGGGTAAGGTAGTTCATACAATTCTAGGGAGCCTAACTTCCGTCCACTGCCTACGTCATAACTCGGGAATATAGGGCACGGGTCTTAGAAACTGTCTTGAGATACATGGACAGTCGGTGACGTCAGACAAGTCCAGATCTTCCCCGTGCCGTATCGACCTTCCATTCGTGCGTGAGCCTCCTTGCGATACCTTATTGACCATCTTGGACGGTTAAGACTTCAGTGATGACTGTACGGAAATATTGAGTCCTTGCATTTGATAATAAGTTCCTTTCATGACCAACCCATCAAGTAAATCGTTAAAAATTGAATTGTAGGCAGAACACCAAATTTAACATTCAAATAGTAGTATTTAAAAAAAAAAATTTTAAACATGACAATCTCTTAGTCTCATCCTTAATGGGTTACCCTGTATATATCACTAGGTTACTGAGCCCAGAACTTAAGACAGGGTATCGTTCTGAAAACCTGTTTTAAAACCCGGGTTTCACAAATGGGGTTAGGCAGTTTTGTAAATATCAATATTTTTGTTATGAAATATTATTTTATTCAGTTTGTTTATATTCTCCATTTTTTTCGAATCTCTTAAATCAAAATCTACACAAATGTTAAAACCCCAAAAAGGAAAATCGGGAGTTTTGTCCAACGATACTCTTTTAAATTTCGGGCTCTGAAGTCGCGTATTTAGTTACGTGATTAAACCCATACCTTAATATACTTGGTAACCCATAAAGTATATGTTGTTAAGGTACGGGTTTAATGATACTGTAATGACGACCTAAAACTCATAAAAGAGATCAAGCCCATTGTTAACTGAACTCTTCTGTCTGTAAACAGCCTTCTAATGGGGTATTTAATGATTTAGTAAATGAATGAACTGTAGCAGAGAAGCGTGAAAATAAGGAAACAGATAATGTAAATTCCGTACAGTTTCCATTGTGGGTAACCCTAAACTAGATTGCATTATTTCAAATGAATAATGATTCATGATCACTGATCAGTCAGCTATCTGAAGATCAGGGGCGGTCTAGAGGGGGGGCCTGTGCCAACGGGCCCCCCTGAGCTCCTGGAGGGGGGGGGCCTGTGCCAACGGGCCCCCCTGAGCTCCTGGAGGGGGGGGGCCAATTTTTTTAGCGCGCTTACGTGCGCAAAAAGGGGCCCGTCTGAGATATTGGTTTAGTCCGCCCCTGCAGTGGAGAGCCTGGATAGGTGGAACTTTGTTTTCGATTAAACTAAAAGCCTAACTTTATTCCATGCATTGCTATCTTTTTACATTAACATTACACTTTTTCTACATATATAAATATAATATACCTATTCAATTTCAAACTTAAGAAAATCCAATTCTGGCTTAAAGGGACAGACCGGCTATGGAAGGTAGTTGAACTAAGTATGTAGTGTTGTGGACATATTCTTTAGGATTCATTTTAGACATAAAACTTTTTAAATATCTGTAAATCCTGAGTTTGCGCGCAAAGTCGATGTTCAAAATCGTACTTTTGGGTCGATACGTTTTCAGAATTGTTTTGTTTTAATTATTCAATAACGACGACAAAAAATATAAACAAAATTCTACATTTTACTAGTTAGTTCTTTAGAAATAGATTGAGAAAATAAAAATTAATCTTATCGAAAATAAGTAATTTTGTTTCCTATTTTCCCATTATTCTGGTTTCTCATTATTCACAAAGATTTTCTGCAGATTTTTTGGAATTATTATTGAAAAGTCGACATTTGAAGAATTTGTAGAAATCTGCGAAAAAATTTATAGAAAACATGAAATTCGATATAATAATGAAAACGAAATAATTGATTCTAGCATTAATTTATTGACAATTTCTTTTGAGAAATATGTTCCTAACCATCTAGTTAGTATAATTTTTACTTTATTTTTCGTCATCGTTTAATGTTGGGTTTCCTAGAGAGGGTTTTTATTACGTAAAAAAACGATGTTAAAAAACCCCTAAATAATATTTTTCCATTTTACAGACTAAGAAATCCTATTTGTTTTACTATCTTAAAAACGCATTACTGTATGTATTAAAATTTAAAGTAAAATATTAAACTATATATCTTATTTGGTAGAAAATCAATGCAAAAGTTGTTAATAATGCAGAGTTAACTAGAGTTTAACTAGCAGAGACCCTCCATGTAAAGAGGAACATGACTGATTTACAACGGTAACCTTATAACCTTAAACTGATCAATAATGTGGAAGATTTCGTCGTATTTATAGTTGGAAAAGTGTATAATTCTTTAAAAACTTCTCCCTTTCTTCTGCAGTAGAAATGCACAAGTCATTTTAATTGATAAGCCCATAAACATGGATGTCTTATTCATGCTTGACCAATAAAGGTTATAAGGGTACTTCTGTGAATCGGGTATTCCCCTCTATGAATGGGAGGTCCCTTGAAATATGTCTTCAGTGCATTTAAGTGATAGTTCTCTACCTGTGTGTGCTCAGTTAGCTGTACTGTACACTTACAACTGTTTACTAGTATTAATATACTATAGGTTAGGCCAGAATCAACTTATAATAAACAAATATGTAGTACGCTCTCGGTATAGTTTATGGCCTATAAAATTAAGGGTATAGCGAATTGTGTACATCATCATTCTATACACTATAACCTCGTTGCTTTAAGTTAGATTCTATTAAATCCGTAAAAAGTGGTTTTCTTGTTCTTTACGACTTTGATTGAGCCTACCCCCGGGCCGTTTTTCACTACTGAAATGTTCGACCACCCTAACAAACATATTCCAGCCGTTTCTCTTGCCTATCTTTTATCACTGCTTTGTCCTACTCTTCCATTACTATCACCCAGATATTCTCATTTTACAAACTTATCTTTAAAACGTAGTACTATCATTTTCACCTTATTTCCCTCTCGTTCTGTTTAATTGCCTCTTTTCAACTAGTTTATACTCTCAAGCAATTAAATTGACTTCCTGATGTAAAATCAATTTTTAACGCAAGTAACGTATTTTACGATTTACAATGCGTATCTAGAATTGCGTCAGAGTTGACAAATTGTGTAAGAATGAGAGTTTGGTTGTATATATATTATATATATAATGTTGCCAGGTGTTTGTAAACCTGTCTATCCACCCACACTTGATAACTGGAGTTTAGTTGCTCTCCAACCATCAACCAGAGAAGACGGAGAGTGCTGCTCCGTGTCTCTATTGTGATACAATGATGGATACTAATCCAACCCTCTCCACTCCAGGATTACTTCTTGGGTTTGTTTTCTAAACTTATATAAAAACGTCCTAAACTCTTTATTATTATTTATACTAGAAAAATTACGTGACATGTATTTGTTTGTTTAAGAATGGTTTCACGCAGTTACATTACTCATCTTTATAACTAGAGTTACTCATCAAATACAATACTTTACTCATCTTTATAACTAGAGTTACTCATCAAATACAATACTTTACGCATCTTTATAACTAGAGTTACTTATCAAATACAATACTTTACTCATCTTTATAACTAGAGTTACTCATCAAATACAATAGTTTACTCATCTTTATAACTAGAGTTACTCATCAAATACAATATATCTCTATTTAAGATTTGAAAAAAATGTAGAGAATTTAACAGAAATTTTAATGTTTAAGAAAATCAAAATAATGACTGAGTTTCCGTTTAAATTCTTTTTGTTCGCAACAAGAATAACAAGTTCAACAAGTTCAACAAGTTCAACAAGTTCAACAAGTTCAACAAGTTCAACAAGTTCAACAAGTTCACAAGTTCAACAAGTTTAATAAGTTCAACAAGCCGTTTATTCATTTTTTTGAGATTACAGTTTCATGAAGCTTATTTAACTATGATCTCAAAGCTGAAACAAATCATCTAAATGTTTTGAATTTTGATTAGTCCTTCTGATGGAGTAAAACATGTCAGACAATTGTATGCAAGATATTAAACTGTTTATTAATTTCTAAAATTTTTAATTGGATAATAAATGGTTTCCGGAGAATCAAAAGTTTAAAAATATTGTCTACTTTATAGAGATGTTTAATTTATTCACATGTTAAGATTCCCTATATAGCCTAATTACTATAAATACAAATTTTGTTAGAATGCACAGATTTTCTTATAAGCGGCTTGGTTTCTCAAGTTTTTCTCAGTTCACAACGATTTTCTTGGCTTCTCCTGATTCTTAAAGTTTTTTTAGTTGTTTTTTATTCTTTTACATTACTGAGAAAGGTTCTTCAATCCAAACCAAAGTAAATTCTATCAGAGAAAAATCTTTCATGTTAGGAGCTGTTTGATAAAAAAATACATTTTTAAATTTAATACTATAGTTGTTATTTTTACATATATATATATATGAAGTTATAATCTCTGTTTGTCTGTTTGTATGTCCGAACATAAAGCATGAACCCCTTGACCGATTTGCCTCAAATTTTGATTGGGGAACTGAGGAGAACTACGTGAGTGTTCTTGAGATTCTAAGTAGATTGACCACTAAGGGAAAATAGTCAGTACCTTAATTTACGACCCCAATTGCGCGGGTAAACGGTTTTATTAGAAAGTTATAATAATTAATCGTTGCTTAGGTTGGGTCGGAGTACTGGGGTAGAGGAGATCAGGCCTAGAGGGAGCAGTAAGGAGTTTACTCCGAGGTTAGGACGGACAGGAACGGAGGAGGAGATTATTATTAAACCTAGACCATGGGTTGCTAAAGCTAGAGAAATAGAAGAAATCAAACCAAGGTTTACACGGGACGTAGATTCTCCAAGATTTGGTCGAGAAGAAATAAAACCAAGGGTTGAAAGAGAAGTTTTCAAACCAAGGTTTGAGAGAGAAGAAGTCAAACCGAAATTTGATCTGGGAGATGGGATAAAACCAAGATTTTCGCCGGATGAAGATTCTTTGACTAAACCTAGATCATTACACGACGATAATTACTCCAGGTGATATTAATACCATTTACAGGTCGAATAATACAATAAATTGCCAGGTGAATATCTGATCTGATCTTAGGATTTTTGAGTTTGAACCTAAAATTTTAAAACTTTTGTCTTTAAATGATCCATTTTCTATTTATCGCGTATTAATATTTATAGTTTGAGAGGTCGGAGTAGAATCGAACCAGAGATGCCTGAACCTGACTATCTAGACTCTGACCAGGAGGACTTCAATGTTTCAGAGAGAAAACGGGATCGGAGCAGGGACGTATTTAATCTTTTCTATCCCTTTTCTTCTCATAACCAGCTACAAAAAATTATCAATAATTTTTATATTTAATAATATTTTATTATCATTAAAGTTAATTACGTGGTTTACAGTAGTTTTGAGGGTCGGAGTAAGAAAAGCTCTGGTGATAAGCTTGAACCTACTCCAAGTAAATCTGGGACTATAACAAGGTTTCCTACTTTTAACAATATCGACAGGGTCTCTAAGGATCGGGATCTAAGTCCAGGATCTAAGTACACTCCGGGAACCAACTACCAGGTTCAAACCTTCAATGAAACTCCCAACCCGGAAGAATCAAAACATTTCCTCAGTCTTCAAATTTTCTCCGCGGTAAACATATTCTTTTTTCACTACTTTTTATTGCTGATAATATCAATATTATTAATATACACATTTTAACAATTTTCTCATCTAATATTTTTCTAGCACGCTGAGCCACCTCTTGAAGAATTCTTGAATATAAAACTACAGTTGGAACTGGAGGAGAGGCACAGGGAGGAGGAGGACGCCTTGTACAGGGCCTTCCTTCAGGAGAGGAGGGAGCAGGAGACCAGGATCAACAACATGGGTGAGGAGGAGAGAGAGGAGCTCTTTATTAACATGAATAAGATGGAAAGATCTCGAATAATAAATCTGACGGAAAAACATTGTGATCAGATGATGGATCTTATTCATAGGTAATCTTTAATAAAATTTATTAAAGAAATGTTCAAGTTTTTTATAATCTTGTCTTTTTATAATCCTGCATACTTACTTACTTCGCTAGTCTTGGCAAGGCCCATTCCACAGTAGCTCTCCACTCTTTTTATCCCTTACATATTGACCACAAAATAAGCTGATGATAATAAGATAATTTCTGGGTGTATTATTTTTTCATCTTTCTTACATACACAATACACACGGCATATTTATAAATATATTGTATGAATAACTAAATATATTCCTGTTGCAGAGAGAAGATTAAGTACCTGGAGGAGGGAGGAGAGGAAACCAAGGATATTCATCAGAAATATCCCCGGGAACCCCCACCTATAGAGGTTCCTAGGTTCACCAAGGATCAGGTTAGGACAATCCTGTACTCTACTAATATCCCCGGTACACCTCCACCCCCCACCTATAGAGGTTCCTAGGTTCACCAAGGATCAGGTTAGGACAATCCTGTACTCTACTAATATCCCCGGTACCCCTCCACCCCCCCACCTATAGAGGTTCCTAGGTTCACCAAGGATCAGGTTAGGACCATCTTGTACTCTACTTATATCCATCTACTAAAATCCAGCTGGGAAACCCCAGGTTCCTATGTTCACAAAAGATCAGGTTAGGACAATCCTGTACTCTACTAATATTCCCGGGAATATTGGATAAACCTGTACTGTACATAGATCATCCCTAGATAAACCTGTACTGTACATAGATCATCCCTAGATAAACCTGTACTGCAAATAGATCAACTCAGATATAAAGCCAGGTAAACCTGTACTGTACATAGATTAAACCCACATAAACCTGTACTGTACATAGATCATCCCTAGATAAACCTGTACTGTACTAAGATCAACCCAGATCAACCCAGGTAAACCTGTACTGTACATAGATCAAACCTAGATAAACCTGTACTATATATAGATCAACCTAAGATCAACCTTACTTTCCTATTATTTTTCTTTTTTATGTTGATGTATTCAGGTTTACGAGAACAATATGGCTGTATTTGAAGCAGTGGACGAGGTTGCTTTAAAAGCTGCTGGATTGGAGCATAGAACTCTAACTGGTGTAGCTAGGATGCTGGTTAATAAATGCTCTTCAGATCTTGATAAAGCCAGGGCAATTTTTAGGTAATATAGATACAGAAATATATTTAATTCAATATTCTAGCTTTAAATAAGACACAGAAACTACAACATAGTTCCAAATTATTGCTTTATATCCGACACAGTATCCGTAATATTGTTCCACATTCTTGCTATATATCCGACACAGGATTTATCATTAAGAACTATAGTTTCATAGTTCTGTATTCTAGGTTTATATCGGAACCAAGCTCTATAATATATTTTTATAGTTCTTTATTCTAAGTTTACATCGGAGCCAAGCTCTATAAAATAGTTTCATTTAGTTCTGTTTTCTAGGTTAATATCGGAGCCAAGCTCTGTAATATAGTTTCATAGTTCTGTATCCTAGGTTTATATTGGAGCCAAGCAATATAATATAGTTTCATAGTTCTGTATCCTAGGTTTATATTGGAGCCAAGCACTATAATATAGTTTCATAGTTCTGTATTCTAGGTTTATATTGTAGCCAAGCACTATAATATAGTTTCATAGTTCTGTATCCTAGGTTTATATTGGACCCAAGCTATAGTTTCATAGTTCTGTATCCTAGGTTAATATCGGAGTTAAGCTTTGTAATATAGTTTCATAGTTCTTTATCCCAGGTTTATATCGGAGCGTAAGTTCAAACATCTCTCTTGGTTTCTCTACTACCCGGAGGAAGGAAATAAACGCGGAGCTCCAACCAACCTTTTCAGGGATATTCAAACACAAATCTCTAGATTATTTCACATATTATTCAATAATCATGGACTACCATAAAAAATAGTTAAAGTGGTGTGGTAGCAGTTCGCCCAATAACGTTTCACCCAATCACGTTTCACCCAATACTACTTTCACCCAAATTATGTTTCACCCAAACTACACTTATTAAAGAGTTTCACCCAATTTTTTTTCTTCTAAAACATACATTGCCGATGAGTTATGATTTCCGATCATAACTCAAAAACCCTTGGACCGATTTGCCTCAAATTTTGATTGGGAAAAACAAGAGAATTGTGGGAATGTTTTTAGATTGGTTAAAAAAATCCAATCTGAGTGGGTCGACTCATATATACAAATATATTAATGCAAATTGTTGTAAATCCGCAACTTTTTTGTTCGAAATCTGCAAAACCACATTTTATCTGACCATGGCGGCCCAGTTACATGTAGCTAAGTTCATCTCCTCAAAAAGGGGGAAGCCCATTCTTATTGATCAAAATAGCCATGAATATCGACTCATGCATAAATTGAGCAGTAATTAGAATAACTGTAACCTTATCTATACAATTTTAATAAATTAAAAAATATAATTTTTAAAGTTAGTGCAGTTTGGGTGAAACGTGAGTTAGGTGAAACGTTATTTTGGGTAAAACATTATTTTGGGTGAAACGTTATGGGTGAAACGTAATTGGGTGAAACGTTATTGGGCGAACTGTTACCACACCGTTAAAGTATTTAATTTTGAATATTTACTAGAGGAGTTGAGTTTGGTATAGAAACGAAAGCCCTTCTTTATAAGAAAATGTGCGCTTACGTTGGACTACATGCTATTGTAATTAAGGGGTACAGCAAGGTAGTATAGTAGGATCCAAATATTTAAATATCCAGTAATCCCATCTGAATCATCTAAAGCACTAACATTATTTTAATTCCTGTAATCTAAGTAAAGTTTGTGAATTTAAACATTATCATCTTAACTTACTCAAAAAGAAATGAAAATGTTGTTTTTTTTTAGGCGAAGGATTACATACCAGGAGATGAGTTTGTGGATGAAAGGTATAAAACAAATCAAATAAATCAAATAAATCAGATAATTCAATTAGTTTGAATAAATCAAACGTTAATTTGAGGATTGATTTAAACTTATCTTTGATGATTTAATATAATGGAGGTTACTTAACATAGTAGATTGAGGAGTGCCTGGAATGCAGTATATGTATCTGAAGGATGGAGGTTGATATATATTTATATTCTTTATATAGGTGGAGGAGAGCCTGGAATGGAGTTTATGTAGCTGGAGGATTGAGGTTAATATATATATATATATATTTATATTCTCTATATAAATGGAGTGTCTGAAATAGGGTATATGTAGCTGGAGGATGGAGGCTGATATATATATATTCTCTATATAGGTGGAAGAGTGCCTGGAATGTAGTATATGTAACTGGAGGTTGATATATATATATATTCTCTATACAGATGGAGGAGAGCCTGGAATAGGGTATATGTAGCTGGAGGATGGAGGTAGATATATATATTCTCTATATAGATGGAGGAGTGCCTGGAATGGAGTATATGTAGCTGGAGGATGGAGGTTGATATATATTTATATTCTTTATATAGATGGATGAGTTTGTGGAATGGAGTATATGTATCTCACTTTCTGGAGAATGGAGGTTGATATATATATTCTATTTAAAGATGGAGGAGTGCCTGGAATGGAGTATATGTAGCTGGAGGATGGAGGTTGGTCCAAGCTAACTGGGCCTCTATGCAGATTAATACTAAGGTATAAAATGTAAACGAACATCTGAAATTGGAGAACTCTGGTAAACTCATTTTTGATATGGTTTAGATACTTTTTCTCTTATCAATTATTTGATTTTGATAAAATATTTAAAAAATTTTGGTTCATCTTATTTTGGAGGAATGTACAGTGATAACCAGAAAACTGGAACTAGGATGATGACTTTTAGACTTAATTTATGACTTTAAACAGTCCAATGATCATGGGACATAGCAATTGTGCAGTGTAAACAGACCCATTTAATTTAATTAGTGATTTAACAAGTGTCTAGTTAAACTGTTTGCTTTGTAGCAATATAAAATACACTTAAATATTAGGTCGTCTTACTATTTCAGAGTTTTCTGGTTACAACTGTAATTATTGTATTTTGTATATTTATGTATTTATTAGTAGAACTGTCTAGTGTCTAATCATAAATAAACCTTGAACTGGAAACTTGTCTGCAGCCTAATTCAAAAGATTGCCATTAACGATTCACAACCCTGATTAAAATTTTTTTTTTAGTCCACCATAGTTTTCAAGAACCAGGTTTATAGGGTTCCGTTGTGAATCGTTAATGTTACAATTTTCAGGCAGCTCGTGAGACTAGACAGATGTATCAGGATCATTACTTCCTGACAGACCCGGACAAATTTATCTTTGAGTTCTTCCCTCTCTCCGCAGAGTTCCAGTTTCTGGAGCATCCAGTAACCAAGTATTAACCTTACTCTTATACTCGGAGATACAAAGAGAAAATGTCGTCTTTATCAATCCAGCCATTGACGATTTACTCATTTAAAAAATGTCTAATTCTCAGATCTATCGTCTTATCTTTTTAAGTGATTACTTTAATCATTTTAATATTAAAACCGTTTAGAATTCAGAAAACTCTTTTTAATAAGGAACCTTAACGCTAGCATGAAGTTCTTTTTAATCCATGGTCCAACCTCTAACATGAACTGAGTTTTTGTTACAAACTCTGATCTATATCTAAGCAACCCGAAGTTGCAGAGTTTTGAAATTTCAAACCATGAACTCTGTTAGATCAAATAATAGTCCAAGTTTGCAATAGGAAAGGTTTACACCCATCAGGTTGTATAGGTATAGGGATTAGAAATTTGACTTTGTATCAAAAACTCACTTCCTTTGAAATTTATTTGAACTCCATGCAAAATCTAAATTTAAATATTAATTTATCATGATTATTTGTTCACAAGAATGTTTTACATGTATCCACTCCTCCCCACCCCCCTTTCCCTCCTGATCCATCTTATTTTATTTATGTAGATCTGAGTTTGAGAATCTACCTTTGCTCCGGTCAACCTTCTTCCATCTTGGATTATCCCTGGCAAGGAGCGAGGGATTACTCAACGCTGTAGTTGAGGCGAATGATATGGGCGAGGCGAATATATATTTGAACAGTAAAGCGGATACAAGCTTCCACTATACCCTGTACAACTGTAAGAACGGATCCACAAGTATAAAAGCTCCGGGTGGAAAGTTTCCACTGGACAGGTACAGGGAANTTTCATTTAATTCTTTAAATATTTTGTAGAAAATTTTGATAAAGCCTTGCAAATGTCGATCGGAACTGAATTTTTGCCACAAAATCAAATTTTCTTATTCCTATATCTTTTCAACCTATAGTGTAAACCTTTAATATTTTAAACTTAGACTATTTTGACTAACCTAATGTTCAGTTGGAATGATCAAAGGACTACAACACCAGGTTGCAAAGATATAGGGTTTAGAAAATCAGGGATTGTTGCAGAAATTCAATTTCCTTGTAGAAAAAATGTTTTTAGGTTTGTTCTGATGTCAACAAAAGACAAAGAAACCACGTTCAATGTTCATATTCCACAAAAAGGATCTTTTCTGCTTGAAATAGGTGAGACCGACAATATTGTTACTGCTTATTAGATGACCCCTGAATGTTTTCAAACTGATTAAAAAATATAATGTAATGACAAATCATTGATAAAATCTGTAATTTATAATTACGTAATTTTTTATGTAATTTTACAATCTTAAATTTGTGAGAAAAAAGTGTATTTCTAGGTGCTGTGAAGTATCCAAGTTCTGCTGAATTTTTAGCTTCTCCAATCCATTATATCAATGTTTGCAAGTTTAAGATTATCACCAGAAAAGTTGACAAGGTAATTATAGGTTAATATAGAGCTCATACCCGTAGTTGCTACTTGTTCTTCTGGTTTACTGGTTCCATTGTGCTCTCCTGGTTTTATTGTGTTCTCCTAGTTTTATTGCTTTTTACTGGTTCCATTGTGTTCTCCAGGTTCTATTGTGTTCTGCTGGTTCCATTGTTTTCTCCAGGTTCAATTGTGTTCTCCTGGTTCCATTGTGTTCTCCTAGTTCCATTGTGTTCTCCAGGTTCCATTGTGTTCTCCTGGTTCCATTGTGTTTTCCTGGTTTCATTGTGTTCTCCTGGTTCCATTGTGTTCTCCTGGTTCCACTGTTTTCTCCTGGTTTCATTGTGTTCTCCTGGTTCCATTGTGTTCTCCTGGTTCCATTGTGTTCTATTGGTTCCATTGCTTTCTCCTGGTTTCTTTTTGTTCTCTTAGTTCCATTGTATTCTCTTGGTTCCATTGTGTACTCCTGGTTCCATTGTGTTCTCCAGGTTCAATTGGTTCTCCTGGTTCCATTGTGTTCTCCAGGTTCCATTGTGTTCTCCAGGTTCCATTGTGTTCTCCTGGTTCCATTGTGTTTTCCTGGTTTCATTGTGTTCTCCTGGTTCCATTGTGTTTTCCTGGTTTCATTGTATTCTCTTGGTTCCATTGTGTACTCCTGGTTCCATTGTGTTCTCCTGGTTCCATTGTGTTCTCTTGGTTCCATTGTGTTTTCTCCTGGTTCCATTGTGTTCTCCTGGTTCCATTGTGTTCTATTGGTTCCATTGCTTTCTCCTGGTTTCTTTTTGTTCTTTTAGTTCCATTGTATTCTCTTGGTTCCATTGTGTACTCCTGGTTCCATTGTGTTCTCCAGGTTCAATTGATTCTCCTGGTTCCATTGTGTTCTCCAGGTTCCATTGTGTTCTCCAGGTTCCATTGTGTTCTCCTGGTTCCATTGTGTTTTCCTGTTTTCATTGTGTTCTCCTGGTTCCATTGTGCTTTCCTGGTTTCATTGTATTCTCTTGGTTCCATTGTGTACTCCTGGTTCCATTGTGTTCTCCTGGTTCCATTGTGTTCTCTTGGTTCCATTGTGTACTCCTGGTTCCATTGTGTACTCCTTGTGTCATTGTATTCTCCTTGTTCCATTGTATTCTCCTGGTTCCATTGTATTCTCCTGGTTCCATTGTGTTCTCCTGGTTCCATTGTGTTCTCCTGGTTCCATTGTGTTCTCCTAGTTCTATTGTGTTCTCGATCCTATCTATTTAACCCGACCAAAGCTTTTCTTGAAAGCATGGTCTGAACTTGTATAATATTGTACAATATTGTACAATATTACCGAGCTAAATAATTAAGGAATTAAGGTTACAGAACTATTTGCTTCTAAAATTATGGTGACTTTTGCTATCAGCTTTGATCTCTCCGGGTTCCTCAACCATCTATATAAACTTAATGTTTAGGTTATGGTTCCCCTACCGGATTGTGTACCTGGAGAATGGGGTCCGGAGAAAGCAATAAAACTGTTTGGATTGAAACCTACCAGTCATCCTATGCCAATTATATACGCTGCTCCTCCCTCAAATATAGATCTTAGAAATGAAGTTCGTCCTCTCACTCTTAATATAGGTGAGTAGTTCGTCCTCTCACTCTTAATATAGGTGAGTAGTAATTACAAAATTTGGTTTCAGACTTGATATTTTTTCTGATCAGAAATTAATAATTTTTGGGGATTTAAAGAATATAAAGTTTAAATTGTTTAAAATTTCAATTTTACTGAAGTTTTTGAGTCAAGGGTATAGAGCTGATACTATTTGTGCTGTTTATTATCATTGAACTGAACACATGCTACAAACTCTAATTTGCAAATCTCTATATCTGCGAGCTGGTGGTGTAAACCTTTAATGTTTCAAACTTTGAAACCTTGATCTAACAGAATTCATGTTTTTACATATTAAATTTTTGAAACATCTGGTTGCACATAAACAAGAATTAGAAAATTATAGTTTGTGGCAAATGTTCAGTTTCTTTGTCATTCAAAAACCAAGACGTTTGTCGATTTTTTATCTTATTTTCATTGGTTTTTTTTGACATCCCGTAACTTTTAATTTAATTATATTAAGAATTTGAGAAGACAGACGAGGTTCTGGATTTTGTAACCAAACTTTACAAGAACGGAGTTCATGCTCAAGATTTAAAGCAGGGATCAAGATACAGAAACAAGGATAAATATGTTATATTCGATATCAAGGTACTTTTTAGTCTTATTCTTTTTTTTAAGACCCTCAATTTAAAATAGTGGAATGCCCGATTCACAACGGATCTGAATCGTTATCTAAGCTAGAAACATTGGAGAAGAAATCCCAATTTTTTCGTGGGGTACGGTGGGGTTTTAACTAAACAAGCATAGACAAAGCTAGACACTTAGCCGACTCATCTCACGAAACCTCGATTCCTAGTGGAAGTGAGGTTCATACAGTACACATACTGAAGGGACTGCAGGGGTTTGTTTTAAACTTCGATTTTGGCATATATTTAGATCATATATTTAGTAGGCATTTTGCCGGCGTACACATCAGTGATAATTGATCTGAGAGATAAATAGATATTTTACCCCTAAAATGTAAATAAACAATAAGAAAGTAAACAAAGGAAGCACTGGAAAATAGCTTGTTGTTAAGAATAAGTTCACAAACAACCCCATTTTTCTAAAATTGTACAGTTTTGCCCAGCTTGCCTGCTGTACTCTATAAATATTTACTCTGTGTAAACAACGTATTAATTTCTATTTTCTAAATAAACCTTTATAAATTTCCAAGATCCCTAGGATGGACAGTACGGGTTGGATATCTATATAATGAATAAACCTTGTATAATGTATATGTCTAGGTCCCCCAGGATGGACAGTACGGGTTGGATATCTATATAATGAATAAATCTTGTATATGTCTAGGTCCCCCAGGATGGACAGTACGGGTTGGATATCTATATAATGAATATACCTTGTATATGTCTAGGTCGCTCAGGATGGACAGTACGGGTTGGATATCTATATATTGAATATACCTTGTATATGTCTAGGTCCCCCAGGATGGACAGTACGGGTTGGATATCTATATAATGAAGATACCTTGTATATGTCTAGGTCCCCTCAGGAGGGACAGTACGGGTTGGATATCTATATAATGAACATACCTTGTATATGTCTAGGTCCCCCAGGATGGACAGTACGGGTTGGATATCTATATAATGAATAAACCTTGTATATGTCTAGGTCCCCCAGGATGGACAGTACGGTTTGGATATCTATACCCGGAGAAAGTGGGAGGATAAGATGCTCCATTGCTGCAAGTATCTCATCAACTGCGATGTTTAAAGGAACAAACAACTAAAAACAATTAGAGAGAGAGAGAAAAATTAACCGAACCTGAATGAAACTAACTGTGATATTTAACAAATTGAATGTATGAACCCTAATTTTATTTTCCTTATAGAGAAGTCAACCTGTAGTCCTAGTATACAAACCAAATTTTTATCCATCTACTAAACATGTTTAATTTATGCCTAATTTAAAAATTTTCAAGTTACGACTTGTTGTACAATTGTTCCACAAATAGTAAATTGATAAGTTTTTATGAAATAAAATGTATAATGATCGAACTGCTGAAGTCGAAATATGATCTACACTCCTAACCTAGCTCCTAGCTAATAACATGAGATTAATGTCTGATTTGAAACTAACAAAGTGTGTTTTATTATTTATGACTTAAACAAATAAAAATAAAAATCTAATACGTTGTTTTATTAAATAAAACTTTATGATAAACAATGAATTTAGCAAGTCGTATCACCAACAAGGGATGGATAGAATCAAGTATAAGGAATGGATAAGGTCTGATACAAGTGACAGATAGTATCTGGTACAAGAATTGAATATAGATCTGGTACAAGAGATGAAAGGTCTGGGACAAGAGATGAATATAGGTCTGGTACAAGAGATGAATATAGGTCTGGTACAAGAGATGAATATGGGTCTGGTACAAGAGATGAATATTGGTCTGGTACAAGGGATGGATAGAATCAAGTATAAGGAATGTATAAGGATACAAGGGACAGATAGTATCTGGTACAAGGGATAGATAGAGTCTGGTACATGGAAAAGATAGTATCTGGTACAAGGGATAGATAGGGTCTGGTACATGGGACAGATAGTATCTGGTACAAGGGATAGGTAGGTCTGGTATAAGGTTCTGCTATATGGTTCTGTTACAAGGGAGGGATGTATTTGAAGCTTTAGGAGTTAAAATTAACCTTTGTCCGTTCAGAATTGAATAATACAGAATTAGAATGGTTAGGTATATTTACATACATTTAATACACAATTACATTTATATTATAATCTATTCAGTTTATGCACAGTTTTTTCTACTTCAAATTCACAAACACACAAAAATACTGTTTCAAGACTTCAATATTTTTGTTCTAGTCAAACACTTGATGTTTTAGAATTGAAGACAGCTGAGTTTAGGTCTGCAGGTAGTGAAGGAGATTTATTCTGAACATTTTTACAGAAATATTTAAACAGAACCGTATATATTTATATATAACTTAATATCAACTAAAACCTAACACTTAACCCTATAATCTTGAGAAATTGAACCTTATCAAATACCATTACTCCTGGAAAACTTTAAGTCTAACATTTGGCGTGTCCCAATACCTAGAGAACCCTATTCTTGATACATTTCTATATCCTGAAGAACTTAAAGCCTATCCTTCCTTGGTGACAAAAACCCCAATTCTTTCTGTACTTCTGGAGAATTTGAGCCCTATCCTTGGAACTTACACCAAGAGCACCTGAACCCTATCCGTTGTACATTTCTACTTCAAGAGAACTTTAAACATATCTTGAACCCTATCTTTTGTATAATTCTACTCTTGGAGAACTCTATCATGGAAAGATATTCAATAAGGTATCTTTCCAGTACCCAAGATCCATGGTATATCTCAATACAGAAACCCTATTCGTAGTAAATTTTGAAATCCAGTAAAATCTTAACCTTATGCTTGGTATGTGTTTACTCCTGGAGAACCTAAACCCTATCCTAGGTATATCCTTAAACCTACATTTCTGCTCTTGAAGAACTTAAAGAACTTGAACCCTATCCTTTATATATCACCATTCGCCAGGCATTACAAACTTAAACCCTAATCCTCTTTTTTCCTACTCCTGGAGAACTTGAACACTATCATGGCTATAAATACTTCTGGAGTATATATGTCTACTCCCAAAGAACTTGAACGCTATCCTTGGTTTATTCGTTCTATTGGAGAACTTGAACCCTATCCTTTATATATCACCATTCGCCAGGCATTACAAACTTAAACCCTAATCCTCTTTTTTCCTACTCCCGAAGAACTTGAACGCTATCCTTGGTTTATTCGTTCTATTGGAGAACTTGAACCCTATCCTTGGTATATCCCTATTTCTAGAGAAAATATTTTTTTCTTCGAATTTTTACCTCTTTGATAATGGTAGATACAGCTTCTAGATTATCTGGTTCCAGCCTAAACCTTCTACAGAAAAAAATGAATCATTTTAACATTTTCTTGCAGATAGATAGATATTAAAATTATACAATCAAATGTAGTTACCTGAGGTTTAAAATAATGAGAGGTATGAATGTAATTTGAATATCCCAGATTATTCTCTCAGATAATCTAATAACTCCTATCCTATCCTTCTCGTAATTCTAAAAGTATGAAAACTATAAAATTAATTAATTACAAGTTTGAAGGGATGGATCACATATATATGTGAAAGGAGGGGTTTAGAGACGATTTCATTAAATTACCGATGTCGATGATTATCAGTTTGAGAACCGGTTTTTTTCTGTAAAAATGGAGTGACTGGAAAGGAGAACATAGGGTGACGGGTGATAATGAACAATTGTAAAACTGAAAATTAGGTTTAATTTTAGACCAAAAAAGATTCTCTACGATGCAAATGTTTTCTGATTGCGACCGAAAACGATCAAATTATTTTGCGCTAAGTATTTTGTCATCTCCCGGGACACTGGAATGAAACGTACTTTTCGCTTTATTTAGTTAAAACAATAAAACGATTTGAAAACTTCTACTGCTGTTGATTAACTTTGTTTAAAAAATGTAATTAATGGCTCGCAGAGTGAACTCATTAATTATACATCATATGGAGCGAAGAGACACACGATTGGTCAGAATTCTTTTAGCATACTCCATAATACTGCATCTACATCTGAACACTCCCTATTTGCCGGTCACTCTCTTTAAATACCACTGCCTGGATTTCGGATACTGTCCCCTTTAAAATCTTACCAGAAGATTGAGAGAAATCTTGACAACTCTGCAGATCAATAGAAGAGAGAAAAGTGTGGAATATATCGCAAAATCCTGAAAAAGTTTTAATTATTTCTAGAAAATATTTTTGTAACAAAAATTTTGAATATTCAGATCTAAAATCACCTGTTTAACATGAGAACTTGGAGTTACTATCTTCTTTTCTGAGAAATTTCCAAGTTGAAAATGGAATTTCATAATTTTTTATGTATTTTTAATTGTCATGAATAAAATCATGACAATTAAAAATACATACTTTTCATATTCTGACAATTTTTAGTCGGAACAAAATTAATACAAAAAACCAAGAAATTAGAAATATGATAATTTTTAAACTTTCTTTTTTAAATCAAGGATATTTTACCTGGTTTTTTATTTGGTTCTTTGTTAAATCTAAAACAAATAGAAGTTTTTTAGCTTCATTTAGGCATATGCTTCATTTAGGCATATGCTTCATTTAGGCTTTCTAGCTTTATTTAGACTTTCCAGCTTAATTTAGACATTCAAGCTTTATTTATATATTCAAGCTTCATTTAAACATTCCAGCTTTATTTAGCCATTCCATCTTAATTTAGACATTCAAGCTTTATCTAAATATTCAACCTTCTTTAATTTAATTTCACATGAAGATAAAATATTTGAAGATAAATAATAATATAATAAAAGATTAAAGTGAAAAAATGTAGAAAAAAATTTCTTTAGTAAGAAATCCTATGATATGAGACTGCTTTATAGCAATCTTTAAATATATTTGATGTTGTTTAAGAACAAGTAGTTTTACTAGAAACTTAGAAATTAACCTTATTAGTTAAATTGTTGTGTGCACACTGCACAATTGATGTGTCTGATGTTCGTAGGACTGTTGAAAATCACATATTCATTCCAACTTCAAAAGTTGTCATTGTATTCCATATTTTTATGGGACCACTGTATCTTTCATAACCAATCAGAACATTTTTAAATAAGCTATTTAATTATATCGTAAAATTTTTAATGGATTCTACCAAGAAATGAATTTAATCCACTTAAAATTAATATATTAAACATAAACAGTAAATTAATTGTTTATTTTGAACTTTATTTACCTAATTGTTTTCACAACAAAATATCCCGTCGCTCCTAACACTAAAACTAGACTTATCCCTAAACACAATAACAATCCTTTTGATTTCACTTTTTAGATTTTAAATGGGGTTTCAAATGTTTGCATAGCTAAGTTGTAGTTCAGTGAAAAAATGCCAAAAGCTATTTAGAATAATAGCCAAAAACTGTTCTTGGAAAAGATGTTAATTTTATTTTTGAATTTGACAATTATTGTTCTTCTTGTCGAAAACAATTTGTAAAAGGCCCTCTTTTTAAATATAAATTGCATTATTAATAAGGAATACTTATAAACTGCGCTGACAAGTAACAGGAAAGTAAACATGAAATTAAAGGAACCTGAAATATAAACTGCGCTGACAAGTGACAGGAAAGTAAATATGAAATTAAAAGAACCTGAAATATAAACTGCACTGACAAGTGAAAGGAAAGTAAATATGAAATTAAAGGAACCTGAGATGACGAAATGTCTCACAAACTCCTTTCCTCCCTCTTCAAAACACTTTTCTTTAAAAAAGATAAAATTTAATAAAATCAATTCAGAATTTATGACTTGAGTTGTAAATCTCAAGATCAAGCATTGATCTCCATCTTGTGTAGACCTACGGATCAATTCATCTTGGATATCCCATGGAGATTGTAAAGAGATCAAGTATTTATCTCTCAAATTTACAAGTTGTCGCAGTGGATATCGAGATCAAGCGTCATTTCACACAAAAGTTTTAACATCAGAACGTATTTAGATTTTTCTCACTTATATACTTTCTTTTGTATATTTAATATTAGGAATTATAAATCATGTAGCATGCATGACTATTATGAGCTTAAAGCGTGATGGCTATACCTACATTAAGAATAGATAATCTATATGAATAGGATTAGTACTAGAACTCCGGAAGCTAAGATATACAGGGGTACATCTTAGTAGAGAGAGCTAGAACCCCAGGAGCTATAGGATTTGCAGTGGTAAACCTGGGTTCAGGACTAGATAATCTCCATGCATAAGATTAGTAGAGAAAGCTAGAACTCCAGATTTACAGGGGTAAACCTGGGTTCGGGACTTGATAATCTCCATGTATAAGATTAGTAGAGAGAGCTAGAACTCCAGGAGCTAGGATATACAGTGGTATATCTGGGTTCAGGACTAGATAATCTCCATGTATAAGATTAGTAGAGAGAGCTAGAAGTCCAGGAGATATAGGATTTTCAGTGGTATACCTGGGTTTGGGACTTGATAATCTCCATGTGTAAGATTAGTAGATAGAGCAAGAACTCCAGAAGCTATAGGACTTACAGTGGTATACCTGGATTCAGGACTAGATAATCTCCATGTATAAGATTAGTAGAGAGAGCTAGAACTATAGGAACCAGGATATACAGAGTCTTCTCTAAGCATAAACTAGAAACAAGGATCAGGATGAGTAAAAATTGCTACAGCATATAAAAGAAAGAGAATAAAGTATTGGTAAGAAAACACAGGGAGTTCACTGATTCAGATTTTGCTTTTAAAAAGTAACTCCGTTTGATAATTTGAGCTCCCTGAAAACCTGGAAAAGGGTGAAACAAATAACAAAAATAAGCTTTTTAACCTCTTTTACCTGAAAACTGAATATGAGGAGGATTTCTGAAAAAATACGATTAAAATTTTATTTAATGCATTTTACCCCATAATAGCCAAAAA